AATGGCTACCGTATGTAGTTATTCTATCAATGCCTGTAACAAATATACCATTAAACCATCGTCCTATCATGGTCAACTTGATATTACAAGTATATTATTAACAATAGCACCCCATACATGTTTGATTAGGGTATAGAAATCTGAATGCCAATTGCATTCAAGTCTATATGTTGGATAAGAAGTATCAGTGGAAGCTCAGGCTTTGAAACTACTGCACTTGAACTTCTTCAATAAATTAGGACTGGTATTAGGTGGTCTGCCTTGTGCATAACACCCATCACTCCTTGTAGTTAAACAATGAATATGAATATTTCCATTAGAGTTTGAATATTTAAAAATGTAAAAAGATGGTCACAATTCAGACAGAAAGTCATAATATATTATCATAGTTAATTTTGCTTGGTCCAACAAAAATTAAAGTTATGGGAATTTTTACCCAGTGAATCCTTTTCTTCCAGTCATAAACAAGTTGATGGAAGAGATTTTGATGAAACTAGTAAATTTTTATGATGTGGTTTATCTTGGGTATCTTGTTGATGTTAGTAAAGGAAAACCTGACAGATCAAAGATGTTTGTATAGGACAAAATGAGATATTTATCAGTACTTTATTTTGAAGGTAAAGGTGTGGATTTTGTTAGATTTCACCAGCTGACTATCTGATCAAAGAATATTAAACTGTCTTAAAAAAGAATATTAAACTGTCTTATAAAAGAATATTAAACTGTCTTAAAAGGAATATTAAACTGTCTTAAAAAGAATATTAAACTGTCTTAAAAGGAATATTAAACTGTCTTAAAAAGAATATTAAACTCTCTTGTAAAAGAATATTAAACTGTCTTGTAAAAGAATTTTAAACTGTCTTATAAAAGAATATTAAACCTTCTTGTAAAAGATTATTAAGCGGTCTTAAAAAGCAATATTAAACTGTCTTATAAAACAATATTAAACTGCAGTAGACACAAAGTTTGTAACAATTTAATTATAAAAGATAAAAAAGATTCTGCCATTAATATATAACAACACAGACACAACTTATTTACATGTTCTGTGCTAATTGTGCAGTAATCAGTTTTTCATATTTCGTATTTCATACCCTGTGGCCTGCCCTATACCATGTTTTAAAAAATCTTCTGAAACTTTTGTTTTTCAAATCTGGCAGAGGAAATCTTGACGAAAACATTTTTAGAAATTTAGCAGATGAAACTCTTGATAATAATTTAGTTGGCACTTTTGTGATAGAACTTAAATATTGGTGAAACAAACATTAGTCATAAAAAAAGATTTTTTGTTTTTCTCAGTGAAGCATGTTCCTGGTATATGTATTAAATGACTGACATCCCCTTACCCTAACCCTGTAGGATATTATATACGTGGGAGGACTTCCGTATAATCAGGTTTTTATTATGTAGTCAGGAATTATTAGAAGGAAATGTGTAGTAAAACAGTGGTATTTATGTATATATATACCATCTGTTATACCTACATTAGAAATAATATAAAACTTAAACCATACCTAGAGTGGGAAGTTAACATGGCTGTCACAGGTCAAATATACTAATAAAAGGGTAGACATTTGCTTTATCATTTATACATTGATTATAGATTAGAGTCTAGTATCTTAATTAGTAATTAATTTGGGCTGTTTTTGACAATTTAAATATTGTACTTAAAGATGCATTATGACTTTCATAATGAAAATAATGTTATTAAATTTAAAAGAAGTCTTATTTATATTAACCCTAGCCCTAGACTTAGATAAAGTATTCTTTATAAATGCTTTGAAAACCAGTTGCAAATTGTATGTCTTGAAAAGTTAATACATATATATATATCTCAGTGATATAGGTTGACAATATTGTTTCAAAATTGTCATAGAATATAATTTGAATATCAAAACTTATATTATTACAATCTCAGGAAACTGTTCAATTTTAGGTACATTTGAAAAAGCAATACATTTTTATACCATCCGATTTGATGGTTGTGTGAAATGAAATGAAACAGGGTTTAACTGTCTGGCTCTGACTGAGCTAAAGAAGACGGACGGGTACCAGTATATGCTATGCAGTGTGTTATGAGGGAAATTTTGCCCAGATAGTGGCACTGGCACTACGGCCTACTCTTATATCGAATTTCATCCCCGTCCAGCATCACTAACAAGGGGAAACCACTCTGGAAAATCCTGATGAACTTTCTCGGTCGAACACCGGACCTCCAGGTTAGCGAGCCAACGTCTTACTCATCGAGCCACCCCATGATTGTATGAAGCAGTGAACTTAAAGGGTGCAATGTCCTACATTTTTGCACCAATAGGGCTAATGAAGACAGACATACGCCATACAATGTGGTATAGAAAATCATGAGGAATTTTCTTGGCCAATACTGGGATCTCTTGGTTCTGGTTAGTAAGCCTGTTCCACCCTTACTGAACCACCATAGTTCCCACATGCCTAATTAGATTACAAAAATAAACAGTTGCATACACTTATAAAATAGGTAATTCAGACAATACCTTTCAGTATAAACTACACCACAATAATGATTAACTCATGTTTTACAGGCCATTTCATGTGTGCTATCATCACTTCAAGTAAAGTACATTACCTACTAACTTTTAGGTTGAATAACATTGTAGAACTTTTATCAGGCATGTTGGAAGAATTGTAGCCAGGCATATGACTGTAATAAGGCCATGAATGTCTTCCAGTTAGTTAACCATAGAATAGATCCCATTGCCAATAAACTACTTGCTGCACAGAATATTTATTCAAAGCAAATGTAGGTAAGATATTTTTTGAAAACAAAGGTGTCTGGGATGATCTTTAAATGTAAAAATCACAAAACAAACAGAAAAAAAGAACATAAATATTGGCACATCATCGTGGTTATAATGAGTCTGTACACCTTGCCTGCAGATAGTACTATGTGTCAAGTGCAAAACAAGTACTTGTTTCGAAGTACAAAAGGTTACTGAAACATAGTTGCATGATTTGAAATTCTTATCGTGAATTAAGGGGAAATGTTTTACTAGTGGAAGTGGTCCAATGCAATTGAACATGAAGGTAGAAATAGATGAGTTATTGCTCCTCAATTATCTCTCCAAAATTATTACTTCACAACCTCTGTACCTCTCCAAACAGTCCAAACTATATATATTATATAGATTCTTATTACCAGTACTCCATAAAATGTAATGTATAACTCTAAAATATACATGTATACTAGATGTTTATTACTCAACAACATGTAGTATAATTCCAAAATACATGTATAATAGATTCTTATTATAATTCTAAAATATATGTATAATAGATTCTTATTACTGCTCAACAGGTAGTTTATCTCCAAACTAATAGTTTTTTACTTCTCAACATGTTGTATCTCTCTAAAATACATGTATAATAGATGCCTATAGATTCTTATTACTTCACAACATGTAGGCTATAATGGAGTATTATTACTTCACAATGTCAAACTACATGAAAAGTAGATTCTTATTACTCCACAACATGTAAGTCTACAATAGATTCTTCCAAAAACATGTACAATAGATTCTAAGTTATCTCTACAAGAAAATAAAGGGTATATGTTTTGTGTTAGAAGAAAATCTGTAACATGTTGTAAATTATTGTTTTATTTTCTTGACTTAATGTGAATTCACAAGACTGGCTGTTTTTTATTTTGTGGTGGTTGTGTGGTAATAATAACATTATTATTTCATCACAAATTTAAAAAGGGAGAGGGGAGGTCAGTAGCAACCATGTGGACTTTGTTCAACTGCCGAGAGTCAAGAAATAAAAACAGGCGTTTATTTTTATTTTACACTCATAACAACATGTACAGACATAATACATGGTGTTTGTATTCATTTCATACACAGAAGTTTCAGTTCACAAATATCAAAAATTATATTTTACTTGGTTGCCTATAAATTGTATTATTTTTTTTAAGAACTCCAATATATGTTCATAAATATTGTTCATATAATTGAAAGGTGTATGCTTTATGTCCCATGCGGGTATGAAATAGGTGTCACAGTTGCTCAGGTTCAGGTTTTGGATCCTGGTGTTGACCTAGAAAGTTCCTTGGGGCTTTCCAAGTACAGCTGTCTAGTCGATTGGATGGGACAAAAAAGGTCCTGTGTACACAATGGCATGCAACTAACAGACCCCTTGACAGTTGGAATTCGATATAAGAGTAGGCAGTAATGCTGCTGTCCAGGCAAAATTTCCCTCATAACACACTGTATGGCATATGCCTGTCTTGATTAACCCAGTCGGAGTAGAACAGTAGGACATTAAACCCCATTTCATTTCATTTCCTTGGGGTTTTCCAGTGTGGTTTTCTCATAGCACTCTTATTTCGATTTCCAAAGGGGATCTTTATTGTGCCTAGATATTTATTCTTACCAAACTCTCTGTCCTGTACTAATAATTATAATGAAAAACCAGATTGGAAAATCCAGATCAACTTGCTCAGTCAACACTGGGATTGATCCGGGACCACATTGCTTCTAAGTAGTGTGGAGTAGAGTCAACTGCCAAGATTTCCTGACTTTACTCTGGGACGTCTGGGTTCTTCCCATTGCTAAAGATCTCTGCAAGCAAGTGAATATTTGTATTAATGACCTAGTTTGTTTTGAATGGTCATTATAAACCCTACCTTTCTATTGTTTACTTCAAGGAACGGTTGTGCATGTGCACATCATCCAAATACAACCGCCAATTGAACACATACAATAGGTGTCCCAACTATCATCCTTGTATTAAAAAGTTGAGCCATATTCATCGTCCAACACATTTTGTCAGTTATAATTTTTTAGACAAACGTCACTGATATACTGACATTACAGTCACTGTGGTTAATTGGTTACTAACTGGTGATAAAAGGTGCAATTAAGGGTTAGGGTCAAAAACGCATGTGGCCCAAATTTCAGTGGAACCCTGTGGAGGGAAAAATAGATCTAACTTTAATAAAAACTCTTCCATTCTAATTTCAGTTGTCAGTGTTTTAGCAGAATGTCCAATAAATGCTGTTAAGAATGCTCAGTTATGTACGGCCAGTCTTGGAATAGGACCCCCTACAGGACCAAAACCATTTGTTGAAAAGGGAAAAGTTGAAATGGCTAAAAGAGCTTGTAGGTGAGACCTACCATATTTATTTCTTTTTATAAAATAATTTGATTGTCAATGATAATCAAATTAAACCCAAATCCCATCAATATACTCTTGTTTAATTATATATCGTATATAAAATATCTTTTCTCCTAGAATTCTCAGACTGTTATAGATAAAACGATCATGAATATTGGAAAGAGTAGACATTTTGGCATCAGCAGATATATTCTAAGATGGTCGAAATTAGATTGTACAAATTATTTTGTGACTAGAGATCAATGTTTGATATAAAACATACCAAATAGATAATATTTTACTGACAAACTTAAATACATTAAACATACATTATGCAAGAGCTAAATCTGTCTATTGCAGGTCTTTCTTTAGGCCTGAAATGTTATCTAAATTATTAATTAGACATTAATTAACCTATCCAGGCCATAATCAACTCTAGATGACAGCGCTAGCCTGCGATCTTTAGTGGATTGTAAGCCGATTTACTGCATAACTTTCCTTCTCGATTAAACGATTAAATGGATAATCGAGACTATGCTGTTTATCGTACTGACTTTAGTAATGATGACCGAGGCTTGTGAGAATTTCAGTCGCTTAGTTCTCGGTTCATCTTGGATCAATTTGAATGAAATTTTCACCAAATTGCCTTTACATTATCTAGTTTTTAACCATTATAGTCAGAACTGCCAACTCGTTATCGAATCTCCCATAATGTATCTTTAACAAAAAGTAAAGTAATCTTTGCAGTGAAAAAGTTCTATTTCATTTATCTTTTGTTTTAAAATATTGTTGATGAAGATGATAGAAATATTATTGCATTGGTCTAAAACTAGTAACTTAGAGCCTCCACATTTCATGTCAACAACAACACTGTTGGAGAACTTTATCTTAGAGCAAATGACTATGGATTTTTTTAAAACAATATTTTTATTCAGAATACCTGTATGGGATTGGGGGATCACGTGGCTAAGTGGATAAGACGCTGGCTCGCTAGCCTGGAGGTCGGGTGTTCGATCCCTGCATTGGCGGAGAAAGTTCATCCAGTTTTTCCGGCGTGGTTCCCCCTTGTCAGTGATGCAGGACGGAGGGCCTGACAAGGACAGCTATCTAGTCCTTCGGATGTCCGGGCAAAATTTCCTCATAGCACACTGTATGGCGTATGGCCGTCTTCATTAGCCCAGCATAGGAGCAGAACAGTAGGACGTTAAACCCCATTTCATTTCATTTCATTTCATTTCTGTATGAGATTGGGGAACAGGCTTATAGCCTATGAAAAGCCCCCTCCCTGGCTGTGGATTGATGTACACGATGCAGGGTATGCTTGTTTCCTAGAACCCCTGTTATATTGGAAGTTCACAATGTAGACCAGCACCAGCTGTGTACCAACTAAAATTTTCTTTTCTTACACTCTTCAGTAGAAAAAAGTCTGAATTTTAAATTGGTTTTTATGTGGACATATATTGTCGTCGTCCCTGTCCATCCACAATTTGTTATTGAACACTCTACAAATCACAATTTTTATCCAATTTTGATGAAACTTTAAATAGGGGTTTACCTCCCAAAGATCTCAGTTTGTTTCGATATTGGCATATATCAGATCGTAACTTCATGGATTATGGCCCCTGATTGTACGATAAATCACGTTTTTAGTTTGTGGACACTCTACAGAGGTCACAATTTTTGTCCGATTTTGATGAAACTTAAAATATATGTTTATGTCTCAAAGATCTCAGTTCCTTTCGATATTTGCACATTTCAAACCATAATTTCCTGGATCACATTTTTAGCTTGTAGATCCTCTAGAGGACACAACATTTATCAGATTTTAAAAACTTAAAATATATCTATATCTCAAAGATCTCAGTCCCTTTCAATACCATAACTTCTTGGATTATGACCCCAGATTGTACGAAAAATCACGTTTTGTTTTTAGCTTGTTTTCTATCCATCTCTTGCAAAATGTGGGCCTATCCAATCTGATTAAAACACAGATCCAATTCCGTTCCGTTTTTATAGTTCAAAATTTCGATTTTACTTGTCTTTACTACACTTGGATCTGGAAGTGTTGTTATTTAACTCGTGTTCTGCTTGAAATGAGGGGTCGGCCAATCAAATGGTCTGTCGAATCAAGCGTTTGACCTTTTTTGCGCGGAACTGTGGGTAGACATTAGCGGCAATAGAAATCAAAACAAAGCGAAAGTAGATAAAAAATACATGGCGGTCGCTAATTGGTTAATCGAATGACTGACGTAATCGGGTCAAATGTCGCTTGCTTGGTGTACCTGACGTCATAGAATGTGAACTCCCACTATAACTTGTTAGATCTACATGTACATGTAGTGTAGGCCATCGAAAGTATAAAAAACAAAACGAAATATAGATCTATATTTTAATTAGATTGTGGGCGTATCTTGCCTGGCAACCGCTGGCTTATTTGTCAAATTGACAAAAGGTGATATTTTATATCGTCAGTGGGGAGTCTAAAGGTCATATCTTAGTTTTTCAACATTTTCCAGTAGAACCAAACATCGCATTGAGGTTAAGAGTCAAAATGTTGTGCAGAAACATGTTGTACGTCAAAATGTTGTACGTAAAATGACGTATTTCTAAAGATTTTTCAAATATTTCTGTAAAAAATGTATGTGTTGCCGTTTAAACAGCAGGCAGTGAAAGCTAGTAATTTGCAATTTAATACAGCAAAGACATATCTCGGGAAAAAATTAACCTTTACCGCTTCAATTTCATAGATTTCTTACAATAGAGACCCAACAATAGTTTCAATAACCATAAAACAATACAGACTACACTTAGTTTGAGTGTAATGTTTTTGTAAGACATGAAGTTAATTTTTTCAAGGAAATTCAACATTTTACCTCGCGATATTGATATTTGTTTTGGAATGCCCCATATACAGCATTTTGAAACAATATCTATAAAAACGATTTGATTGGCTTAGATATACAACAACTAGATGAAATGAAATGGAGTTTAACGTCCTACTGTTCTGCTCCTAACCTGGGCTAATGAAGACGGGCATACGCCATACAGTGTGCTATGAGGGAAATTTTGCCCGGACAGCGGCACTACGGCCTACTCTTATATCGAATTCCAACTGCCAAGGGATCTTTTACGTGCACGCCAATGTGTACACGGGACCTCGGTTTTTCGTCCCATCCGAACGACTAGGCAGCTTTCCTTGTCAGCCCCTCCGTCCTGCATCACTGACAAGGGAGAACTACGCCGGAAAATCTGGATGAACTTTCTCGGCCAATGCAGGGATCGAACACCCGACCTCTAGGCTAGCGAGCTAGCGTCTTAGCCACTTAGCCACGTGATCCCCCAACAACTAGATGAAAAGATGCGCCAGAAAAGCTGAATTTCGTAAAATATACACGATACAACCTTTTACTCCCTACTGACAATATGTAATTATAACAGAGAAAAGGTCTTAAGTATTATATATGTAATACTTACAGAGAAAAGGTGATATCATAAGTATTATATATGTAATACAGAGAAAAGGTGATATTATAAGTATGAAATATATAATACAAGAGAAAAGGTTATATTATAAGTATTATGTAATTATTATAGTGAAAAGGTATATTATAATGTAATAATTACAAAAAAAAGGTGATATTATAAGTATTAAATATATAATACAAGAGAAAAGGTTATATTATAAGTATTTTATATGTAATTATTATATTGAAAAGGTATTATTATAATGTAATAATTACAGAAAAAAGGTGATATTATAAGTATTATATATGTAATAATTACAGAGAGAGAAAAGGTGATATTATAAGTTATGTATATGTATGTACAGTGAAAAGGTGATTATATAAGTATTATATATGTAATTATTACAGAGGGAAAGAATTAGATGTTGCAGTTAAATGTTTACAAGATATAAAAGATGTTTGTCAGGGTAATACAGAAAGAGAACATTATCTACGTATGATGATAGATGTTGATAATACTAGACAAAGTGTTCAATATTTCTGTAGTAATTTAAATAGTAAGTACACATTATATTTGATTATACCATCTATTTAAATTGTTATAAATATCTCCCGATAGATATCAAGGTGTTATCATGCTAATCAGAAAGAGAGAAACATCTAACCAACACAAACAAGATTATTTTGAGACTAATACAATTTGCTTCTGTGGAGACGTCATTCAGGAGTGCGACGAAACAAGATTATTTTGGGACTAATACAATTTGCTTGTGTGGAGGCATCATTCAGGAGTGTGAGGAAACGGGAGGTCACAAATGTAGCCAAATGTTTCATATCTTATTAAACATTCCAAACTATTTTGGTTTTATATTACTATCCGGTTTTAGTCATTCAAATTATCACATTTAAATGTTTTAAATTACTCTGATTAAATGTTTCAACCTACTCAGGGCCTATTTTAACGTGCCTACAGACACGGACGTGCCTCGAAATGAAAAATCCGTGCTTGGAGAATCTAAAATTCATGCTTTGAAAAGATGGTATAATGGTATGTTATGTATCCTTGTGAATCTGAAAAGATCGCATGAAGAAATTTAGCAAGTGTGTCCTTAACAATCATTGTGATCATCAATTAATGCGTTTGGTTTCGATTCAATTTCGGGGATTGTATGTAAATGTCAAAAAATAAAGCAGTTGTTGACGCAAGTAGTCAGCTGCATGTTACAGTAAAGGTTCGTCTGCTTTTGGGCATTTCTTTGGACTGCCAATGATACCGACACGCAGCTATAAATACAAATGTCAATAGTATGCAAATTTTAATTTAGGCCTCAATTTTTGACCGTTTTAGATGTTGAGGATCAAAAGATTTTGGTTGAATTTGATTTTGGTGCATCTGCTTGGATTATGGCCTTACATACACAGAGCGTAACAAAGTTTGTGAGCTTTATATTGTGATGAATTGAGAACACGGGAGCAAGAATCATACCGATAATCAGCATTCCGCGACCTTCTGTTCTGGAGTTAAGCCCCCTGGAAAACCTTGTGGAAGCGACAGGGACTTGCGTTTTAACCTTGTTTTATTTTTTCACATTTGATGTGAAGCATTGGGGTCACGAGACGACAAACCCCATCGAGTTACCAAACTTTGCCAAAAACCTTGTGAACGCGATATAGGCTACAACGAGAGGTTGAGCCCTATCGATTTTCCTTGTTCCCTATCCATATCTTACAGAATCTCGGCGTATCGTGTATGCCAACCGCTTGTTTTGTTTTAAAAGTGTAAGCGTGGTGATAATTCAGGAAGTTTTTATTTCACTTCTGGTGAGCCTTTGTTTTGGTCACAACTAATTTGGTAACGATTTCAGAAGGTTTATTCCAACACATTAGAGCTAATAACGGTGATGGAAGAAGCTAAATTGAGCTACCAAGTTCTGTGTGGAAAATCGTGAGTCATGTTTTGGAAAGGGGGGAAACCCAGTCAAAAAACTTCCATCTCCAGAAACCGTGCTTCGTCAATAAAACCTTAAAATAGGCCCTGAACCTACTCACCCCCCCCCCCCCCCCGTTTCAATTAATCCATCCACTTTTCTTGCTTCAAACTGTACAATATTTTTATGTTTAAAACTCTCTTGTTTAATGCTTGAAACTATTGTTTAAATGTTTCATACTATATGATTTTAAATGCTTCAGACTATGATTTTAAATGCTTCAGACTATGATTTTAAATGTTTCAGTTTATGAAAATAATGCTGATTGTATTGCTAGTTTACATGGTGAACAGATCAGATGTGTTCAAGAAGTACGAACTAATTTTAAAACGAAAGTGAAAGCAACTAATAATATGGATGTTATGATGACATCTACATGTCGGTAAGTAGAAAAAAACGATGACTATTGATTGTCACCGAGTACCAATTTATTTTCACTACTGATTTTCATATAATAGCAACATGAAAGTAGAACAAAATGCTATATTAGAACAAATGGTGCTATTAGAACAAAAGTATATATTAGACAAAAGACTATATTAGAACAAAGAGCTATATCAGAACAAAAAGCTATATCATAAAAAAAAGGCTATATTAGAACAAACAACAAAAGGCTATATCAAAACAAAAGATTTTCTTTTTATTGCTTTTCCTTTATTTTTGGTCACGATAACTTATGTAAATATGAAAAAAAGAGTACAAAAATTTAATAAAGTGCAGATATGTGAAAGCTGTTTTTGTGTTTCATGTTTTGATTAGTCGAAAATATTACTGGCAGTCATACAGTTAAAGGACATGTCCATATTTTAGGTGTAGTATTAGGAATTTTATAATGTTAAATACTGCACTTTATGATATAATTGTTAAAAATATGTATGAAAATTGAATAGACGACATCTATTTCCCCCAAAGAAACAAAAACAGCGTTTTTATTTAATTACAAGAAATCTTATATGTAACTTAAGTAGACATAGAAAGTGTCTATGAAGCGATGGGTACTGGTCTTTTAAAACAGGTGTTGGCTGCTACTCGTGGTTGATTTAACATTTGTTGATATGGTTTATAATAATACAGAACCATGTGGACTAGGTTAACATAAATAGTGGGTATCAGACAAAATAGATTTAATATGAAAATATGGTGTTTCTATATTAATACCAGCTACTAGCCAAATTATGTTTTACTACAAAAACATTTAGATTTTAGCTTTTAATTCACTTTGATATTTGTATTATCTTGACACTTTGTGTTTTGCTGCTTTGGCTATTAAATTAGGAAATATAGTAAATAGCAAACTTGATCCACAATAAATGCAATATAATGAATAAAGTTTAGTATCTTATGAATGATCTCAACACCGATACAAAAATCGGTGTCTGATTCCCAAGGCCTAGTTAAACAACCAACTGCAACCTCAAGTTCAGCTCAAAAGCCCATGAAACATGAAAGATCCAAAAAGTCATAATTTTATGACCAAGGGAAGAAAGTATTTTCATGGACCTTATAATGTATTTTAAGGTCCATGGTATTGTTCAATAATAAATATTTTGGTTCCCAGTGTATGTGCCTTTTCAGATGGGTTAACAGCAAGAAATGGAATGATTTCTATTTGTGGTTCAGTGCTTAAACTATGGTTTCTATTTCTAACATAATAAATTGCAGTTGTAAAGCATGGCATACATTTCCTTTTAGTTTATGACCTTATTTTAATGGTAGCTGTAGTGGCTCAGTGATTAAGGTGCTGGTTCACTAACCAGGAAGTCTAGGGTTCAATCCCAGTGTCAGTCCAGAAAATTCCCAGGAACTCTTCAGCATGGTTTCCCCCTTGTCAGTTTTACAGGATGGAGGGCCTGGCAAGGATAGTGTCTAGTTGTTCGGATTGGACAAAGAGAACTCTTGACAGTTGGAAAAATCGATATAAGAGTAGGCTGTAGCGCCACTGTCCAGGCAAAATGTCCCTCATAGCACTGTATGGTGTTAAACCCCATTTAATTTTATTTCCGCATATTACTAGTATCTATGATAATGTTAACAAGATTGGTATTTTATTTCAGATTTTTCAATACAGCAGTTAGATGTACTCAGAAAGTTCTACAACCTAAATGTGGTAAAGAGGCTGTAAATATTGTTGTTAGAATACTTCTTGGCTTTCAACCCCCGAAATGTAAAGAATTGGATATGGATCCTGGTTATAAGTTTGATGATGATGATGATGGTTTCAATGATGGCAATACTGCAAGTTCTACATTTACGCCTTATAACATAGATTTATTAATTTTACTTGTTATTGGGACAATTTTACACAAAACTATTGACTGGTAAACATATTGGAAGTGACTAGGAACAATTATTAAAAAACAAACTGTGATATTTCATTTCTTTTTGTTAGATATTTTATATGTTTGTTTTATGTCAGCTGAAATTCATTTATATTTTTAAAAAAAAATTTTGTATTTTATCATATAATTTTAGTCTGTAAGTGGTTTACCTGGTACAAAATTTTGACTATATATATTACAATTATTATTACTTATCATAGGTATCTTTTAACCAAAATAAAATAGATATATTCTAAATGATATATCAACCTAAAAATATGCTTTTATTTAAATGTACACAATTTAGTTTTTTGGTTAGGATCATATTATATGGATGTTTCGGTAGGCATTTAATCAGTTCTGTGCAGTCATATAGAGTACATGTACTTGTATATAAAATTTCACCTTACAACTGGATATTTTCACTTCAGATTTTATATTTATTTAAGATTTCTGTTTGGTATTAGTAGGAATAATACAAGTTCTGTGTTCTATGTAAATCACCTTATTATTTGAAGTGTATGTAATTATTTAAGTTTTAAAACTATTTATTTTAACCCTACATGATCTGTTAAGGCATGTATAGTTTAATTTCTGTAATATAATCACTTTTTATTTTATCAATTTCATGTGTAATGGTAAAAACTGTACAAATTGCTTTTGAATTGAAAGAAAATGAGCCAATAATTAATTCCTTAAATGTAAAAAATTAGTTTACATATAGTTTGAATTTGATGAACCTCAGTCCATAACATACTATTTTTCTCCCACCAAACTCAAAATGGCCTCAACTTGCTCACAAGGGTTTAGACTACTGGTAATGTATAAACATTAAATAAAAGTAGGCCTGTGCCAAACTGAAGAGCACAATTCAGTTATGTTTATTTTAGCTAACCATTTGGTGTCTTAAGGGTTACTGGGAAGCAGAAGATTTAAGTTGTTTATTTCCTTTAAAGAATATATTTTAAATTAAGTAGTGGTGACTACCTAAGGGACATAATACATGTTTTGCTTCTGAAATCATAAGAATTACTTTATGCTGTACATTTTTAAATCTTATAAAAGCGGCTTTCAATACTGAATATACTTTGAAAGATTGGTTCCCTTGAGGCTAAATAGGTCATGTGTTCTGAATATACTTTTAAAGATATGTTCTCTTGAGGCTAAATAGGTAATCTGTTCTGAATATGTTCCCTTGAGGATAAATAGGTCATGTATTCTGAATATACTTTTAAAGTTATGTTCCCTCAAGGCTATATAGATCATCTGTCCATCCCCACCCCATATTTAATGCTTTTAAAGATATGTTCCCACAAGGTTAAATGGGTCATCTGTTCGACCCCTTAATTTATTGTTATCTAAAAATGATATTTCTCAAATTGCCTTATTATCTAAATTATAACAGATGGCATCCACTGACATTGCTGTCTTAGTGTATACATTTACTCATGAATGAGTTACAACCAAGTAACGCCAATACTCATCCATTCCCTATCTTGTTAAAGATACTTTTTTTTGGCATGTTTTCCTGTACTTATGCTGGCGATAGTCAAGGAAATACATCTTTAAATCAATTTAAAATAGAAATCCATTCAATTGCATTTGATATATTCAAGCCACTTTTATAAATATAAGATTTTACTATATATGTAGATGTGCTAATGTGTTGTTTGTAATTTTTTTCTTACAAAATATCTAATGATACAACCAAAGATAAAATATTAATATGCTCAACGTATTGTGTTTGATGTTTTTACTCTACAATCTGATCAAATTTTGGCTCCAAACTGAGTAAATGAAATATGAAAACTAGGCCCCAAGAGCTACTCATCCCTGCTGTTGGTCTTCTTGGAGGGGGACGGGGGAACGGGATGCTCTTCGAAAAAAGCCCAAGGCTCAAGCCATTTCAATTACGATCAACCAGAAACTTGGCATGCTTATTCCTTGGAGGAATGTGCATCGATTGACAAGACGTTGATTTTTGATACAAGGTCACTATTCCAAAATGGCTGCAATGATGTGGTGTTCGGTTCCAGGTCTCTAGTATGCTTGTACCCGTTTACACTATACAAAGGTTGGCTTAAGATCAAGGACATCAGAAACATTTGAATTGTGACAGTATCAACATATTTCTTGACAAGTTTATACCAGAAGTCATTTGGTTATTAGCAAGATTATTATTTTAGGTTACTAAGCAATGTTGGTATCGGGGAACCTTTTGAAATTTCGGTTAACATTAACGTACTTCACCCAAATCAATAACTTGTCACAGTAACAATATCTTTCGTGGCTAGTTTTTAACATGTACTATTAACTTCTCCCAATCACCCAATATTTATACCCTTGGTTTGTCAAAATTAAAGCCCTCAATGAACTGGTTATAAAAATTGAGCGCACAATTGGCTCCAAACAATTCGACCTGGGATTGCTGCGACTACCGGTAACTGGATTACTGTATGCACTATCAAGAAATTATAGTGTTGTCTACAAATTTTCATATTTTGGTATATATTGCTATATCCATATAACAAAGTTTTAATCGAGAAACTTTTTCTTGAAGGGACAATGACTTAATACGTCTTCAATAATGCAGATATTAGAGGAATCTAATATCAAAAATATTTGTGAGATTTTCTGATGGAAAAGATCTTTTCCTGGCAAACTGCAAATGGTATTCAGCCTTCCCACAGATCAAGGAAACCGACTATAACATATTTTGAAATCAGGATTGGTATGAGATAATTATGTGGGGTTGAATTATGGGCAAAATATACTATTATCATGACTAGAGTTTAATATAAACAAACAAAGTATTTGTTATTTACATAGTTTTATGTATTAACATCTTGTTGATGTAAAACCTAGTACATGTACAGATATATACATGTATATATACATTTCATTCTTCTCAATAAAATGTCTGACTGTCATTATCATCTTCTTACACTCAATTCTTTATTACATTCATACTGGTTTTTATATTTACCTTCTAAAATAGCCTGTAGCAGTGACCTAACATTTGAGGTCAACTGTTAGATAAAGTCTTGTTTTAAAAGATAAAGTTTTAATCCTTAGTGTCCTTTACAATTCTCTTTCCAACAAGGCACAGATATAGTATGTAATATTAAGTTGGTATATCAGGACTGTACTGTTGTATCATCTGTGGGATTATTTATAGTTGTTTCAGATATATCTGTGGGATTAGTTATAGATGTGGGATTAGTTATAGAGGTATCAGTCGTATCTGTTGGTTTATTTATAACTGGTATTATACACACACTGTTTCTAGCTTCTTTAATACTCCACCATCTTCCTAACCTGTGTTCCTGACCAACTCCAGCTACCAAAAACTTGCCATCATTAGAAAACTTCATGGAATTCACAAAACCTTTCTGGAAATAGCACAATAATCGTATGTTTAAGAAATTTCATCGACAATAAACAGAACTGGAAAGAACTTTATTTTTACCAGACAAAACACGTGGTGCAAAGTAAGTTCTAGTTGACACTAGTTTTTTTTATCGTACCGACTTTAGTAATGATGATCGAGACTAGGCTGAAAATTCAATCGCTAATATCTTGGTTCTGAGTGGAGCAATTTGGCTGAAATTTTCAGCATATTCTCTTTATGTTATCTATTTGTTAACTATTATAGTGAGAACTGTCAGACCTTTATCTAATCTCCCATAATGCCCCTTTAACATTCAATAGTTATAAGCAAAGTTAATAATCTTACCACAGGTACTGTGTATAATAAATGTAAAAATCTCATATCTCGACCAACTTTCCACAAACGAATACAACCATCTTTCGAACCTGCTAATAATCAATAGTATCTAAGAACACATTCAATTGGTTAAGTTCCTATAATCACTAGATATCATCAAATGAGAGAGAGAGAAATGAGGTTTAACGTCTACTCGACACAAACTAGGTCATTTCGGGAGTAACATATGGTTCAATTTTATTTCCATAATTCGCTAGCGTGTAGGCGTCTTTAGCAGTGGGAGGAAACTGGAAGACCCGGAGAAAACCCACGAGTCTGGAAAGGGGACCCTACTCCTTGTCACTTACCACTGGGGATCGAAACCACGCCAGTTGACTCAATGACAGACTTTATGATACAGCGTGCATGTGCTAACCATTCAGCCATTCAACCCCCCCTATCATCAAATGAAATGTGGTTTACCTACAGTTCTACTCCGACTGGGCTAATGAAGATGGGCATATGCCATGTAGTGTGCTATGTGGAAAATTTTTCCCTGACAGTGATGCTATGGCAGACTCTCTTTTTGAATTCCATCTGCAAAGCAATCTTTTACATGCACGCCAATGTGAACACAGGAGCTCAGTTTTTCCTCCCACCCAAACAACATTGTTCCTTGGTAGGCCCTCTGTCCTGCACCACTGACAAAAGGGAACCACTGTAAAATTCTAATGAACTTTCTCAGCCAATGGCAGAACTGAACACAGACGCTCCCGTTTAGCATGCCAACATTTAACACACTGAGCCACCTGACTTTCCTTACTAGATATCACAATTCGGACAATAATGAATCTTTGTGATGAAATAATTTCGGCCAATATGTCAATCAAAAAATAAAATTTACCTGATGCCACAACATCTGAATATTGAAGAGAAGCAACTGACGTTATCCAATTCTCTTCCGTTACTAATTTACTACCCTCCTGTTTCTCACCATGTGCACCATATCTGGTAAATACAGATTTCTTCTTTAATACACTCCATAAAGCTAGAGAACTACAATTATAACAATTCATTCTTTAATACACTCCATAAAGCTAGAGAACTACAATAATAACAATTCATTCTTTAATACGCTCCATAAAGCTAGAGAACTACAATTATAACAATTCATTCTTTAATACGCTCCATAAAGCTAGAGAACTACAATTATAACTATTCATTCTTTAATACACTCCATAAAGCTAGAGAACTACAATTATAACAATTCATTCTTTAATACACTCCATAAAGCTAGAGAACTACAATTATAACAATTCATTCTTTAATACACTCCATGAAGCTAGAGAACTACAATTATAAGAGTCCTGCACCACTGTCAAAGGGGGGACCAGACAGGCAAATCCAGAGGAATTTTCCCAGACAAAACAAGGTTGAACCCGGGACCTGCTGGTTAATGAAGGATAAGTTTATCATTATTTTATATGACTACTGATGACATGTTTAGACTTACTTGTTATCATGACCAGTTATAAAGCTAGCCTCATCAATTAATGCAACACAATCTATTGAACCTCTGAAAAACAACAATTGCAACCCAATTATATACAAATATACTTTCTAAATTATAAAGCAGGTAGAAAAATAAATGTATGCAAAGAAACATTTATCAATCAAGAAAGTTTGTGGTCTAAGGGGAGGTAATCTTGTTTCAACACACGGATTGAAGAATGACATCAACTAATTGCTCATATTCATCAGTGACAAGTCATGCATGTGACAAGTCATGCATATGACAAGAGTGTGTTTACTGTATTTAAAACACCTGATACCACTTTTTTTTTAAAATTATTTTATTCATTTTATTGGTATTATTTTTTCAAAGTAAACATATTCTAAAACGATTTAGTGAAAATACCCCTTAAATAATTGTGACAATTCCATGGAAAACTCCTTCATTGATGATTGTATTTTAAAATGCTTACCCTTTACCATTAAACACTAATTGTGATTCTTCCACAACTTTCCATACTCTGATACTATTATCTCTACCACCACAAGTTACTGCCCTTTCTCTAGTTAAACTATCTATACTTGTTACACTGTCTTGATGACCAAATCTACAAAAATAATATGTTAAAAATTAACTAACAATTGTTTAACCTAGTGAAGGGTATTTTAGACATCAGAATACTAATTATAAACAGCAGCCATATTTGGGTTTTTTTTTCAAAAACACTGCATTTTTTTCATTAATTTGATCCTAAACTCAATATCTTGGAATGGTATTAGATTTGATCTATCATCTACTGCACACCTTTCGTCCTATCATATAATGTTGTATTGCTCCCAAGATCTTTAGGACCAACAGTTTTGTCTACTGTGAATATGACATTTTAAAATATACAATTCAAACAGAAAGTACTCACAAAGTTTCTACATAACTCATTTCATCTAAATTCCAGATTTTAACAGATCTATCATGTGAAGCACTAAATAACTGATGTGTACCTTTTCTAAATGATAAACCCTGTAAATAAAACAACATGCTGATATATCACAATATTTATAGGTTATTCATTCATTTGTGATAAGAGGGTTTATTATCATCTTGAGCTGTGGTGGTCAAGTCACCAGGGCAGGGTTGTAAAAATCCACTAGCCCGACGCCCGGGGCTACCAAAACTAACTTACGGGCTAGTGATCTATTTAGCCGTACTACTCCTGGGCTAGTGCCCTTTCACCAGTTTGTGAATTAAACTAGTGACGATATAGATAAATAAGTTGTAAAACATCCCACATTTATTTCTCAAATTCCAAGGAAAACTCAATCACAACAATAGATTTTCTGTAGTAAAACTTAGAGCCATATGGACATTTTTTGTACCCCTTCTATTCATTCATTCTTGACATTTCATTTCTCCATCTTGCAAGCTTTGACAGGTCAGTATAAACCAGTTGAAATCAGGTTGATTTAAAAACAAAAGACTCGCTTATACTTTATATTAGATTAGTTCTGACATAAATATTTGAAAGCATACCTTGTGTATTTTTAAATACAAGATAATTTTGATTATTTAACATGTCGGGTATTTCCAAAGAATTTACTACCATGTTCATTACACACACGCCATGATGAATGGTTCCAGTGACCCGTGTGTCGTCAACTTTGACCCTATTGGCACGCAGCATGGCACTCGAGTGATAATATAAACAATTTTACTATCCTGTCTATTTTAATATTATATCAGCACATCAAACTGATTTGTTTCATTTTGAGACTCTTTATAGAGTGACCAGGTAAATAAATACGGTAAAACAATTAATTTGTCAATCAGTCGAGGCTATCTTGTGCTTTGCAGTAAGTGCTAATAATAACGTAACATATACAAATCTTCGAGCGGGAATTAAAGGACGTTAATTTACCGTGATATATTATAAATGACATGTGCTATATGAAGTATTTATATGGTCTTTAGTGAAAACAAAACATTGTTGTGGCTACCATTCCTGGTTTTAAAGGTCAGATATGATATGAAAACGAATATCGGATTGTACTTTTTTTAACCGTTTCACCAGTGCAACCGAACCATGACTGGTTAACCGAGTAGCGTATACATCCTTAATTATTAGGCAATCAAGTCTACGATCTTTATCAAAAACAATAGGTTGGCAGGCAACAAAGCATATGCCAAAATATTGAAGATTAAATCTTGTACCTGGTCAAACTATGGACTAGTGGATATTAATGCCGGGCTAGTTCCTGACAGTAGACTAATGGATTCAAAAAATATTTTACGCCCCTGCGCCAGGGCACTGGACGATTGACTGGAATGTTTAAGTTTGAATCCTCGCTTTCACACATCAAGGTTGGCACTGACAGGGCTCAGAAGAAAAGTGTGTCTAGTCGTTAAGATGGGATGAAAAAAGATGCCGGCCCATGCACAGATTGGTGTACACCTACTAGTTCATTTCAAGACAAACATAGTATTTTTATTAAATTAGAACGAGTGCAGTGTTTTTTAGTTTGAGTGGAACTCGTAAATCTGGATAAAATCCACGAAGCTAAGCTGGCTACCCTTAATCCTTGTCACTTCAAAAATACAAGAATTTCTATTCATATACAGATTAGTAACAAAAAAACTTACAGAAACCGGACCTCTATGACCATGAAATGTTTTAATATGTTGCAATGTGTCAGGATTCCATATTTGTAATAAATTATTTACATCACCAGAAGCCTGTAATATAAAATACTGATATATAAAATACTGGTATGAATGTGATATATAAAATACTGGTATGAATGTGATATATAAAATGAATGTGATATATAAAATACTGGTACATGAATGTGATATATAAAATACTGGTATGAATGTGATATATAAAATACTGGTATGAATGTGATATATAAAATACTGGTACATGAATGTGATATATAAAATACTGGTATGAATGTGATATATAAAATACTGGTATGAATGTGATATATAAAATACTGGTACATGAATGTGATATATAAAATACTGGTATGAATGTGATATATAAAATACTGGTATGACTGTGATATATAAAATACTGGTATGAATGTGATATATAAAATACTGGTATGAATGCGATATATAAAATTAAACCACTGAAATCCCATAGAAAATACATGTAATATTCCTTTCAAGCTAAAATCTGTAGTCCAAAAATAAAATTTCTGCACCTAAAACACATCCTCAATACAGTCTCTCTACATTGTTAGCAGTGTGAGAGCAGTATGGTTAATTGGAAGCATAACCGGTAAAATAATTATACTCTTGTCCAGTCCATATTAATCTTTATATGTGTGCATTAAAGTTACCAGACAGAACACCTACAGACCATTTAACGATGTACAATAAAGATAATATCTTACCAGATATTTACTATCTGTAGTTATAGCTAATGATAATATATGTGATGTATGACCAATGTGAGCTGTACCCTTTCTTCCACCAGCAATACTCTGAACCTTTTTACATGATTTAATATCCCCTACAATCAAAAATATAAATTACTTCTCATATAACACAACATTGGTGATTGGTGAACTATTAGTATCGCCATTTATAGTGAATAACTTTGAATGTTTTAGTGAACAGTGCATGTCATTAGTATACATTATTTACTATCCTTTGAAATAAATGAAATGAAATGAAATGGGGTTTGAAGTCCTATATTTTGAATGGTGGTTACATTTTTTAACAAGAGCATCGCTAACGCTGGAATATACGTCCACGTTCCAGCTTTGATTGAGAATGAAAAGGAGGCTAGGCGTTGGGTTTGTTTTGCCAAATTTACAGACAAAATATTAACAAAAAAGTGGGTATGACACTGCCCCAGGAGGTTGGGGCATGCACCAAAATAAATAGTTGCTGTCTTTACGGTATAAGGAATAAATATGCAAAATTCCAAGATGATCCATTCAGAATTGCAGCCTGTAGATGATAAATACAAAAATCGGGTGTGGCTCTGCCCCTGGGGGTTGAAAATGGAACAATATAAATAGGCACCACCCTGTTATTGAAATGACAACATCAATAGTTGCCATCCTTAGGGTATAAGGAATAAGTATACCAAGTTCCAAGATAATCCTTTCAGTAAGGGCATTCACCAAAATCAATAGTTGACACCCTTAGGCTATAAGGAATACATATGCCAAGTACCCAGTTAATCCATTCAGAATTGCGGCCTGTAAACGATAAACACAAAAATTGGGTGTGGCTCTGGCCCTGGGGGTCACCGGACATGCAGTTGTCATTCTTAGGGTATAAGGAATAGGTATGCAAAGTTTCAAAAGGATCTGTTAAGAATTGTGGCCTGTAGGCGAAACACAAGACACACAAACATTGGGCGGGGCTCTGTCCCAGGGGGTCGGGCATCCACCAAAAATAATAGAGGTCAGCCTTAGGGTATAAGGAATAAGTATAAAAAAGTTTTCAAGACGACTGATTAAGCATTGCAAGCTGTACTGACACACATAAAGAAAATGGGCGTGCCTCTGCCCCTGGGGGTTGGACATTCACCAAAAACTATAGGGATGTGGTTCTTGTCGGACATTTTACCGAAAATAAAGGGGCATAACTCTTATCGTTATTTAAGCAGAAGAATTCATACCACAATTAACTAGAAATGGGCGTGGCTCTGCCCCTGGGGGTCGGGCATGCACCAAAAACAATAGGGATCTTCCTTGGGGTATAAGGAATAAGTATACCAAGTTTGAAGAAAATCCAGTAAGAATTGCGCCCTGTAGGCGACACAAAGACACACGAAAAGAAAATGGGCGTGGCTCTGCCCCTGGGGGTTGGGCATGCACCCCAAACGATAGGGATGTTCCTTAGGGTACAAAGAATGTGTATGCAAAGTTTCAAGATTATTAGTTAAGAAATGTGGCCTGTAGACGACAAACAAACAAATACTAGAAATGGGCGTGGCTCTGCCCCGGGGGGTCGGGCATGCACCAAAAACAATAGGGATCTTCCTTGGGGTATAAGGAATAAGTATACCAAGTTTGAAGAAAATCCATGAAGAATTGCGCCCTGTAGGCGAACCACAGACACACACACACACACACACACACACACACACATACATACATACACACACACACACACACAGACAGGGGCGACGGCATAATACGTTCACATTATGAATGTGGACGTATAATAAAAATGAAACAAGCCAGAATATATTTAGAAATGCCGACTAGTATTTTGATTGGAATAACAATAGCAAAAGTCAGAACAATCTGCGTTGACTTTGCCGTACGGGTGTTATTATTAGCAGACGATGTCATTTGACATCGAGGGGCGACAGTTACAGAGTTTTTATTTTTTTAGTCATTTTTTTTTTTAATTTTACCCCCTAAAATATGGTACACAACCCTGATGACAATCATAAATGATATTGCTTAATCATATATTCCTATAAACAACAATTTGATGTGCCTATAGAAGTCATTTAGCCAAGTAGTGATCCTTTGACAAAATGTACATATAAAAATAAAAACCTCTCTCCCACATCAGATTTTTGGTGAGGATTGTCTGAGAACCACAATATATTTTTTGGTGTGGCCTTAACATAAGAACTTTTCAGTTTCTTATGAAATGACAAGTTGTCTTCACTCACTTATTTGTTTGCTAAAAAAACATTAAATAATGAACTTACATTTGATAATAGAACAATCTTTAGACGCTGAGTAAATATATCTATCATCTGATGATATCACTATACAAGTTACAGATAACTTGTGGCCTCGTAATACTTTAATTAATTCTGGCTCTGGTTGTAATAACTACAAAAAAAAGACAATGTAAATACATCTATATGTAAATATAAATCTTTATTTCATTACAATTTAAATAGTTTTTGAGTTCATGCACAATCAATCGGATTAAAATACAGATCTTTATTTTGTTTCGTTTTTTTATACTTTCGATGGCCTACGGCCTACACTACATGATGATCTGACCAGTTGTACTGGAAGGTTGCGTCAGGGGTCGTACAAGCGGCTTTTGATCCTATGATGTCAGACTTTGGTTAATCAATCTACGTTGACGTTTCTAGTGGTTTACCCACAGTTCCCTGCATGGCATGCCAAGAAGTCGCCGTAACAGATGGTTTCATTGGCTAATCCCTCACACCATCCAGAATGCCTGTTATATAACAACTCTTCCTGATCCTAGTGTAGTATCGATAAATAAAACGAAATTTTGAACTATAAAAAAACCCAAACGAAAAAGGATCTGTGTTTTAATCAGAATAATGCACAATATATACTCTTCAAAAAAAGTAGGGGATATTGAAATGCAAATACCTATGCAGGTTGCGATATGATAAATAGTCATGGACATTTGACATGCTTCGAGAGCAGGGCTCACGCTGTCGGTCGCCAAAGTCGCAATTTGCGATAAAAATATGAAAGTGGCGATTAAAATTTTATTTTGGCGATAATGTTTTGCGGTACTGGCGATTCTTTTTCAGAACTGGTGGAAAAAAATCTTATGTTTCTAATCGTATTTATCCTGAATTAACCATTAATTGAGTGTCAATCACGTGGCGAAATACCTTAAATTAATCAACTGATAATCGTGATTGCGTCAATGAGTAATACTAATCAGTTGTCTTGGATTAATGATTAGTTGATTGATAATTGCTAATGATGTATATAAAGCCTATCTCAAGTAATTATTTACTCCTAATGATCAATCTAAGCGGTGATTATTTGATGTTTCGTTTCGTCTTAAAAAAATGGTAATACATGTAATCAAAATGGCCGACAGATCCTTTCGAAGAAAATTAAATATTTAGATAGTTGAACTGTGCCTTTATATACGGCATACAAGATATACAAGCATGCCGATCGGATATCATTATTTCAAATTATATCATCACCACTGGTTGAAAACGTAAGAAAGAGTTGAATAGCGACGATTCTTGAGCGAGAAATCATTTCGCCATACGCTCTAAAGGTGAACGACGGGTATAATTATATGCATCTCTTACAAAAAAAATTGAAATTCTCTAAAGGTGAACAACGGGTATAATTGTAAGCATCTCTTACAAAAATAATTGTTTAGGAGCATGCCACGATGAATTGCTGAATGTCTGAGGAATGGTGGAGCAATTACTCATTATTAAGACAAAAATCAAAAACGTCCATTTTCACTTTTGACAGTGTATCTCTGCGAGTGAAATGGGGCCGTCAGATAAGCCGCCCATATGAACTGTGTAGGCAATTGGCCTGCTATTAACATACACTGGTTACCTCTAATAAAAACAGCAGTGCATTTCCGTAGTTTTGTATTGTTTCTGAATATCCCCTACTTTTTTTGAAGAGTATACAACAATTTAACTTCTTTTAACAGTTATCTGTTCTATTTGATGTCTGATTTGAGTCACTGTGACTGGTTAAATCTATTTTTGCCAAAGAGAAGGCATCTCAAACATTATTGAATTCATGAGAGAACAAATAAGTAAAACTGAAACAAACTTCTTGAGGTACTATATTTTCGGTTGTATTGTAATGCAAATATTGATAACAATAGAGTAGCTCTAAGCCTACAAGCAGCAAAGTCATCCATCTTTGTCCTGTATTGCTTTAACAGTCAAAATGGGAGCAAAAAGATAATTTGGCAAAAAGTATTAGAAATTTATGCTCTAATGAACTATCTGTATCAAGTTTGAAAATTTTGACAAGAACTTTGTTATATATTGTAAAATAAATGGGAAGATCATTCCGAGAAAAGTCTGAACTTCTATAGGATTCTTCCTAATGACCAATGAACAATCCCAGCAAATTTGTAAAAATTCCATCAATCTGAATGACAATAGAATGATGACCATAAATATACATTATTTCAGTAATCCATGCTTATGACAATAACTTTATGTGGTAACGAACAGATATATTTCATCAAATCTATTTTCATAAAAATTTATAAACTACTTACATTATCTGCTCTATCATAATGAAGTTTCTGTGATTTTTCTAGCTACAAGTAAACAATAAATAAACTTGTTACAGCAACAGGACAATAACAAACATCACTAACTATATATTTTACAGATCATTAGTTTTACTTACTATGTCACGTTTTAATCTAGATGCTATCACATCATCATCTATTTCTTTATCTTCTAATTTTTCTGCTTCTGCAATGTTAACAGAAAGACAATAAATTCAGGATTATCCCAATAAATATTTTAATTTACCATACTGTAATACTATTAGGCCTATATACTGTAGAGTTTAATTAAGTTCTCTATAAAGATGCTCTGGTTAATGTATTGAAGTTGTTAGCTAGTACCAGTGACAACAAGAACTAGGCTAACAAGGATATGTTTGGTAGATAAAAATCGGGCAATGACATCATAGTCTGATAATCCAAATATGGTAATCCCATGCTTTAGACACGCGGGAAACTGACCGCCTTCTGGTAGGTAGCCTCTGAGCAGTTGACCAATCAGATAAAGGTGTACCTCGCCACTTTCCCGGGGGTTCAATGCATGACTCATGCACGTATGCTCTTTACAAAGAATGTGAGGGGCTTAAGTTTCTTTAGACATCATTCGGAGTTCCCAAGGGAACAACATACCCACAGTCTCCTCGGCTTAGAGGCCAGGGAGAGGACATCATCTCATATTCTCAGAAGGACATTCCCACAGCCTCCTAGGCTGAGAAGCTAGGAAACACCACCGCAAAACACAAACTAGGGGATCGCGAATGTATATTTAGTTTATATTTAATGTCATAGCTGTGTGTGTAGTTTCCTGTATATAACCATTGTATTATGGATGTTGTATTTGATATATAAACTTAGTTATAACAAGACAGTGTTCCAGAGTGTCACAAAACCACTACTTCCATTTGATGTAATTTCACTTACTGCCATTGTTATCATTTCTGCATGTTAATCATGTTACAGGTAGAAAAACAGATAGCCATAAAAAAAATTCTATGATGCATTATTGATTTGGACATTGACTGAATAATTAACAGGTTTGTCGTCTCTGACTGATTAAGAACAGTCTGAGGATGTGAGACAGTTTTGAAAAGAATATAACGCCAAAGATTGAGATATAAATGTGATGAAAAGTTCATATTAATATTCTTAATTGAATATTCACCATGATGACAGATGAAATCTCTCTGTTCATAATATTTCTATAATAAATAGTGGATTTCCATGCTGTAACATCACTGCATTATTCAAGCACTATTTTCAAGTTAGAAACTGATATAGCATAAATACAACCCGCTCAGAGCCCAACATATTAGATATTCAGTCAAATTATGTAGCTTTGCTAAGTTTAAGCATAAACAATACCACAAACAACATACATTGACTGAAGACAATTAATAAAATACAAAACCCAAATAGCAACTGTTTGGTTACTTATTTAGTTTACTATCTGAGTATACAGGTCACAATTCTATGGAATACAATTACTGCTTTTTACTGAGCGACGTTTCGACTAGGCTTCTCTAGTCATTATCTGGTGAACCGTGCGAAAAAGATATGTGATCCTGAGAGCCTCTCCAAGGAAATTGATCATCTCAAACATGTCTTCACAAATTTCAACGGCTATCCAGGGAAGTTTGTGACAAACGCCATCAACAAGACCCTGTCGGCGAGTGCAGCTAAACCAAAAACCCCGACTGCCCCAGTCAGAATCTTCCTTCCTTTCAACGGCAAAGTCTCCTACCAAATCAAACGGCTACTAATGCAACAACCAGAAATAGATGTAACTTTCACAAAAAGCTACAGCACTAAAGATATATTAAGAGCCAATGGTAAACAAAATCCTACACAACCACCACAACCAAAGGGATGTGTTTATCAAATAGTATGCAATTGTGGGATTGCATACATCGGGGAGACAAAGCGACCATTAAATAAAAGGATAGATGACCACAAGTCGAAAGCAGCAACCAACAACTCAGCTGTAGCTGAACATTTGAACTCCAACCCTCGCCACAGAGTCCAATGGTCCAACGTAAAACCACTATGCAAGAATATAAGCAACAAGAGAGCGCGCCGATTACATGAAGCCATTCATATACGACGACACAAACCAACGATGAACAGAGATCAAGGATTGTTCCTCCCCAGGGCGTATGATATTCTTATCACATAATCAAGGCTAAGCATAATTCTACTTTTTTCTTTTTTATCATATTTAATACTTATCAATATTCCAGTAATAACTTTAAGTTTGTAATAACCATCATAATATGCAAAAATGACAACTAATAATTCCCAACTATTTTTGCTTTTCAGGCATTTCTGCTTTTCAGGCCTGCGGTTATTGTAATTTAATGCACTCAATATTTCTAACCCTGCTTTTCTACATCACCATAACATCCAGTGAAGTACCACTCAATATTTTAAATTGTCAACCTTCAGGGGACTATTGATCATTGTGCAGTCATTGTTCTAAGGGTTTTTCGTATATCAGTGTAATCACTCGCATCAACATCCACATATCAATTATTTTGGTTATAACACAAATCAAATCTCATCTTCGTGGGATGTTGTCATTATCAAAACCTCATCAAATCGTTGTAAATACTCCACAACAATCTATTCTTTTACCATTTGTATTTATTTCAGTGAAAGGGGTCGTTGATAACATTTCATCAATTTTCATTTTCTTGCAACGTTTGTATTATTAAAACCCACTAATCACTGTGTATACTCCACAACAACTTATCCATTAATCAATTAGTCAATTTTTTAGGTTAATTGGTATTATTACTTATTAGCGTACAATTAAATCAGATTACCATTAGGTACACGTAATTAAGTTACATCCCTGGTTTGTCATCATTAACTTAGCATTGTGGTGTACATGTATATATTGTCCTGTCATATTTTCATTTTTTATCATAGCTTGATAATGACTAGAGAAGCCTAGTCGAAACGTCGCTCAGTAAAAAGCAGTAATTGTATTCCATAGAATTGTGACCTGTATACTCTAGTTCAATTACTAAATGCCATTGAAACAGTTTACTATCTGAGTATCTACTTGCAGATTTCTATGAGAATGGGTATCTGAGATTAAGTCCCAGTAATCAGACATTTTGGCAAAAAACCTACTGACCCATATTCGATTTTGGAATGGTTATTTTGGAGAGCACAATTTTAATTTGGTCAAAACTGCGAAATTCAACAATTTTACAACCTTTCCCCATATTGTTATTTCATTTGGGAGTACATATGTTTATTAACATAACATGTCTATTTCTACTATTTCTAGTACCTTCTCTCTTTAACTGTTCAATGTATTGTTTAGCTAATCGTAATTTCTTTTCCTGGGCTGTTTCAATTTGCTGTTCTTCATCAGAACTGTAAGCAGCCGGTCTTCCATCCCCTTCTTGTTCACTACAAAACATAAATACATTAATAAATTACAGTACCAGCTCATTGTATTAAATCAATATAGCATGTAATTCTTTATGATAATACCAGATTAAATTTTTAGGGTATCAAAATATAATTCTCTTTTAAATTCATAAATATTAAAAAATTTGTTAGCACCCAATACAGAAATGTACAGAATCCATGAAATAGGGAGTGTTTCTTAAACTTTGTACTATAGGAGAGTTATGTTATAATCGACTGGATCTTTGCAAGATATTTCAATATTAATGCCACTTGACTCAACAACAGACCATATGATCTAAAGCAGACATATTAAATCAAAGATGACATGTTAAAAATGTAACCGACCTGCCTTCAACATCAGAATCACTTTCAATATTTTCATCAACCTTTTGTCGTTTTATTTTGACTGGTGGCGGTTTTGAAGACTTCTGGTTGTTTCTTTTCCCTATCTGCAAAAAAATCAAAGTAAATGGATAAATGTCTTAGACAATCTCTCAAGTTACATTTTTGACATAATTGTATTCGTAAGAGATCAGGCTTTACAGTTATAGATGTAAATTTAGGTAAGCAGGTGAAACAAAATTTTGTTTTGTCATATATGACCGAGTTACGTAAATGTGTACATTACCCTATATTTAGATTTCAATGGCTTCTGTCAAGCCGTTTAGCAAAAGGGGACACATTTTTAAAAGCATGTTGTGTCACGCATACTGACTCTAGCGAGGTAAGCAAGGTCTTATTTTCTCACTAAAATGTTCTTTCACATTTTACAGGCCTTCACAGGGACGGACACACAACTGTTTAGCAGTAAAAATATTGACGGGGGGCCGATACTTTTTCGACAAGGATTCAATAGGGCGGTTCCAGAAGGTACAGGGCGAGTGTATAATGAGACCTACGTTCAGAGCTGAACTAGTTAAAATTACACGTGAAACTAAATTCGTTTTACTGATCAGTTGTTTTTGTTTTATGTATCAAATATTAATCAAGCTTTATTGACAGATCATGAACAAGATTAGTTCACATGTTTATATAATTAAACTTTAAAGTAGCCTAATCCGTGTCGCATTGAGTGATGACTGTCTTTCTGATGTTTTAAGACGACTGTTGTAACAGAATTGGGTAAGCTTATGCATCACACAAGTAAACAATGAATTAATAAGCTGTACTTGATACGACAAAGTCAGAATTTTCGTGTGGACGAGTAAACATTCGATTTGAAGAAATAAAAAGTAGAGAATTTTGGAGAGTTGCAAGTTGCGATGGGACATTTCACAATGTCGTCATTCGCCGAGATTCTTCTAGTCAAGAAAAAATAAAATTAGCCCCACAATAGAAAGACAATTTCATTTTATGGAAGCTACGACATGTACCTTTCCTGATTTTTGTTTGTTTCGTATGAAAAACGGCATTTTGCTTTCGTTTTAACAACCAACACGTGTTTTTAGTTTAGTTTACATGAAATGACCAACTATAGCACAACTCTTAAAATAGAGAACAGTCCTATGGGAAGTAACTCTAAACCGATATTTTAAAAAATGACGGATGAACTAAAGAGTGCGAATCGGTTTCTAATTTTAATAAAATTAATTGATTGTTTAAAAAAATCACTAAGCATACTTTTTTTATTCCGATTCTTAGAAATCAATACTAAATGTGTATTATTTTATAAATAATGTATTGCATGACGCCTAAAGATGCAAGGAATTATACTGAATTGAGGAGAAAATCAAAAGACCATACTGCTGATGACTAAAGTCAAAGGTTAATTCTCATTTTTTTAGACATGCTCTAACTTTTTCCAACAGATTGAGCAACGCGTGGCAACCTCTTGTAAGCACGTATGAGGTTCTTCATGAAAAACTTGAGATACATGCTGGTGATACACAAGCTGGAAGTAGAGATAAATAAACATGCAATTTTCGGCCCTACATTTCAACCCAACCAACCTTTCAACTCTTGTATCCTTCCGCCTCAGAATTATGAATATTCACCAAAACCTGGCAGAAAATGTATGTTCAAACCCTTTTCTTCGATTCTTCACCAAAAAGTCAACAAAAATCGCCATGCAAAAGGGGGGAAAAGCAAAAGGGAGAGGAAGACTAAAAATAGCTTTGGCCCTTGTTTCGTTGGTGACCGCGTATTTATATTTGGTGAGCTGTGTCCAAAAGTCAGTGTTTACTGTGGTTGCTAGTTATTGCTTCTGGTAGATATCTGCAATAGAACTGGTAATAATGTGTCGAAGAGTAGATTGTCCAAAATGTGGAAAACCCACCTGGGAAGGTACATATTATATTAAATTAAATATGAACGCTGATTTTCTGATAGATATCTTTCTCCAAGTTTATTTCATATTTTTCAAATTTTTTGATGGTGATGGTCGGAAGACTACTATTTTGCGTTTACACTAGAGAGAGAGAGAGAGATGGGGTTTAACGTCCACTCGACACAAACTAGGTCATTTCGGGACTAACATATGGTTTAATTTTATTTCAATAATTCGCTTGCGCGTTGGGGTCTTTATAGCAGTAGGAGGACCCGGAGAATACCCACGAGGTTGGACAGGCGACCCTACTCCTTGTCACGTACAACCGGGGATTCGAAACCACGGCAGTTGACTCAATGACAGGTTTTTTTTATGATACAGCACGCACGTGCTAACCATTCGCCCATCCAACCCCCCCCCCCCCCGTGTTGCGTTTACAACTCTGCAGGTATTGTGGGTCTGTCGGTTCAGATTGGTGTGTTACATCTGACTGAGGGGGTTTTTTTTTGTTGTTTGATAGTAAATATTATATGGTTTAGCACCAAATTATCAAATAGGAAGAAAATAATAATAAAAAAACATCAAGAAATTTAAAAAATACATTATCTTTTTGATGAGGCATTAAAAGTAGATCTAAATGAAAACAATTTGAAAAATATGATATGATGAAGAAAAAAAAACAGTGTCAGTAAATCAAATTTTTTGAAAAATCATGTTCTTGTCCACACCTGTGTTACTGGCAGGGGCGGATTGGGCCATCGGGTGCCCGAAGGGCCGGTCGGACAAAAAATGAAAAAAATAATTTTGTCCAATTCGTCTAAAAAACCTTTTTTCTGCTGAACATTATATGGGGGGCGGGGGTATTGGACCGGCCATGGAGTGATGATGAACATGTTGTATGTGGCCGGTGGCTTTAACAGGCCGCCACGCCATCATTATAGAGTCTGGGATGTGCTGGTATAATAGACTTTCTGGGAAGGTGTTGCTGGGTATGGGCCTGAATTTGGAATCTTGCAATGGGGATTCCGAATTTCATCCGAAAATTTTATCTGATTCACCCGCAAATTTACTAATTATTAAGTCACCTGCACCCTGTTTGTGGGGATACGCCAGAAACGTCTTCCAATGGTTCGTATATCAAAAAAAAAATTCAATTTTAAGGCCTCAGCAAAATTTGGTGATAGCTGGTCTGCTGGCCAGTAAAAGGGGCCGCTCCGACCCGGAGCCCGGGCTGGTTCCCGGCCCCAATCCGCCCCTGGTTACTGGCAAACATTTAAACTATGGACATGGTCAGCTCAAGCCACGATTGAGTCAGAATCTCCTGGTTACTAATTTAACTTAGACTATCTAGCTAGTACTAGTAGAGTCATTTTACAATACATGTACATGTATAATGAGCCACAATGGCTCCCTGGCTACTAACCTTAGAACCATAACAATACATCCATCCCAGTACTCGCAGTAGGCTAACAGTATTGCAATTCACTTCTTAACACCAATAAAAATATTGACAGAATGCTCACAATTGTCTAGCTATACATTCACAAAGTTGTTGGTGGACATAGTTTTCCAATGCCTTGCAACAGGTTACTCAGAAAAAAATTATCTCTTTCACTTCAGGTTGTGGTAAGCATATTGAACAAGCTTTAAATGGTGTAGCACAGGAAGATCGTTGTCCGTGCCCAAGAGATAAAAAATGATAGGCCTACCAGACCAGATTTAATGTTTCAGTTTTCCTAGTGATATTCTGACTGTTGCCGTTGTTACTGTAGTGTGTTCAAATGAAATGTTTAAAAAGTCAGGTGGAAATACTAATTCCATTCTAAGCATATCATTATATTATTGTTCCACTGGACAATGACATTATTTTATGTCCTATGTCCATAAAATAAATGCACAAAATAGTTTATATTTTTTGTTTATATTTTATTTTTTGTTCATATAAAATATCTATATAATTTATTTAAAATTTTATATACTGGTACAATTTATTATAAATTTGTAGACATTTATGGGTTTGTTTGTTTTTTATACGCCCACATTTTCATGTGGACGTATTATGCCGTCACCCCTGTCCGTCCGTCCACAATTGTTTGTGGACTCTCTACAGGTCACAATCCTTATCCGATTTTGTTGAAACTTGAAATGTAAGTTTATAACACAAAGATCTCAGTTCCTTTCGATATATGCGCATATCGAATTGTAATTTCCTGAATTATGGCCCTTGATTGTAGGAAAAATCACTTTCCTGTTAGCTTGTTCTCTATCCATCTCTCGAAATTGTGGGCGTATCCTGCCTGGCAGCCGCTGGTTAATATTTAAGTTTACTGTGAATTTAGTATAATATAATAAATGGAAGTAGCAGAAGCTCAAATTACTCTTCTTCATATTTTATTTCTCAACATTTCCAGCTTTTCTCTCCATAAAAAAAAATGCACAAAAATAATTATTTTTGATTTGTTCTTGCTCATTTATTGTCAAATAAATGCAATATATTTATTTAATACAATTGTTTTTAACCTTTCTGGGTGTATAACTAAAAGGTGTCTAAGCTTTGATAATATAAAACCTATGTGTCCTTACAGGTTTTTTTTTGTTTTTTTTGTCTTTAAAATCATTGAAGACATCTTCAAGAATCTGTCTATTATAAAATGGTATGGTTTAAAATATAGAATTAACTAAATGTAGTACAATCATTTTGGTATGTTGCCATCAGGCTAACAACACAAAATCTAAAATAGTTACCTAAAATATCAGGTAGTCATTTTCCTAAAATATTGTTAATCAGATGAATAGTTTTAGATTTAGCCTGTCGTAAGGCGCCCTAAAAAAAAAAACCTCCCGGGATAATAAACAAACAGGGTGATGTCCCACACCTAAAACACCAAAATAAATAGATGACTGATTAATTACTTGTTCTTTTATAATATATAGAGCCTCAAATTACTAAATGGCTCATTATCAAACCAAGTTTCACCCTGCTCGCTGCCACTCGGCTTATCTGTGTTTAATCTAAGGAGAGAAAATGCTCATCATCGAACTTAGTCAATGTATTAATGTAATGAAACTATAGGCGCTTTTATTGACTTGCCAAATTGATTTGAATTTAGTGGAGATGTCATATGACAGTCAGTATAGTCGATTTCAAAGTACTTTGGTGAGTTCAGTGAAATGTGCTGATTTGCTGTAAACAAGTCTTGTGGCTGAACACAGATGAACAAGAGCATCGCTAACGCTGCAATATACGTCCACATTCTTGCTTTGATTGATATGGTACTTTTTAAAATGAAGAGAATGAAATATGAAATGGCTGTAATATGACAAGAGGCAAAGAAGGCTAGGCGTTAGGTTTGTTTTGCCAAATTTACAGAGAAAATATTAACAAAAAGTGGGTTTGACACTGCCCCAGGGGGTTGGGGTGTGCACCAAAATAAATAGTTGCTGTCTTTACGGTATAAGGAATAAATATGCAAAGTTCCAAGATGATCCATTCAGACATAAAAAAATACAAAAAGTGGGTGTGGCTCTGCCCCTGGGGGTTGGATATGGAACAATATAAATAGGTACCACCCTGTTATTGAAATGATTGATATGCTGAATTTGAACAAAATCTGTTAATTATTGCAACCTGCAGAGTATTTACCGATAAAAACTAACAAAAAAGTGGGTGTGGTACCACACCCCTGGGGGTCGGGACATGCACCAAAATAAAAAGTTGCTCTCCTTGCAGTATAAGGAATAAATATGCCAAGTTCCAAGATGATCCGTTTAGAATTCCAGCCTGTAGACATAAAACACAAAAATTGGGCATTGCTCTGTCCCTGGGGGTTGGACATGGGACCAATATACTGTATATAGGTACAACCCTATGCTGGATCATTCCAAATTTGATCCAAATTTGTTAATAATTGCAACCTGTATATCATTTACAGACAAAATATCAACAAAAAGTGGGTGTGGCACCGCTAAAAGGGCAGGAAGAGCGGGAGAAATGGGGTTTAACATCCACTTGACACAAACTAGGTCATTTCGGGACTAACACATGGTTCAATTCTATTTCAATAGTTCGCTTATGTGTAGGAGTCTTTAGCAGTGGGAGGAAACCCATGAGGTTGGACAGGCGCCCCTACTCCTTGCCACGTACAACCGAAAGGGCAGGGGTTGTGCACCAACATCAATAGTTGCCGTCCTTAGGGTATAAGGAATAAGTATACCAAGTTCCAAGATAATCCATTCAGAATTGTGGCCTTCGGGCGCTAAAATTGGGCGTGGGTCGGGGCATTCATCAAAATCAATAGTTGACACCTTTCGGCTATAAGGAATACATATGCCAAGTACCAAGTTGATCCATTCAGAATTGTGACCTGTAATCGATAAACACAAAAATTGGGTGTGGCTCTGCCCCTGAGGGTCGGGGCATGCAGTTGTCGTCCTTAGGTTTTAGGGAATACATATCCCAATTTCAAAGATGATCCATTAAGAATCGTGGCCTGTAGGCAACACACAGAGACAAAGAAAAAATGAGTGTGGCTCTGCCCCTGGGGTTGGGCAATCACCCAAAAACAATAGGGGTCATCCTTAGGGTATAAGGAATAGGTATGCAAAGTTTCAAAAAGATCTGTTAAGAATTGTGGCCTGTAGGCGAAACACAAGACACACAAACATTGGGCATGGCTCTATCCCAGGGGATCGGGCATGTACCAAAAAATAATAGAGGTCAGCCTTAGGGTATAAGGAATAAGTATAAAAAAAGTTTTCAGCATTGCGGGCTGTAAGTGACCACAGACACAAAAAAAGATAATGGGGGTGGCTTTGCCCCTGGGCGTTGGGTATGAACCACAAACAAAAGGGATGTTCCTTAGGGGATAGAAGGAATAAGTAAGCAAAGTATCAAGGTGATACATTAAGAAATGCGGTCTGTAGATGACAAACAATTAAATACAAGAAATGGGCATGGCTCTGCCACTGGGGTCGAGCATGCACCAAAATCAATAGGGATCATCCTTAGGGTATAAGGAATTCATATGAAAATTTTTTAAGACGATCAATTAAGAATTGTGGCCTGTAGGCGACACAGACACACAAAAATAAAATGGGCGTGGCTCTGCCCCTGGAGGTTGGGCATGCACCCCAAACGATAGGGATGTTCCTTAGGGTACAAAGAATAAGTATGAGAAATTTTAAGATTATACGTTAAGAAATGCGGCCTGTAGACGACAAATAAACAAATACATGAAATGGGCCTAGCTCTTCCAAAAACAATCGGGATCATCCTTAGGGTATAAGGAATAAGACTAAGTACACTGTATGTAAAGTTTCAAGATGATCACTTAAGAATTGTGGCCTGTAGGTGACACACCCACACACACAACAGGGGCGACGGCAATACATAATGTGGACGTATAAAAAATAATGTGAACACGGGATCAAATCGCCGAAAATGATCATAAATTGAACTCAGTAAAGACATTCACAAACTAGGTAATTTCAGGACTAACATTTGGTTCAATTTTATGTCATTAATTCGCTTGCACATAGGGGTCTTTAGCAATGAGAGGAAACCGGAGGACTCTGAGAAACCCACGAGGTTGGACATGCGACCCTACTCCTTGCCACCAACAAGTGGGGAATCAAAACCACGCCACTTGACTCAATGACAGGCCATACGATGCAATGGGCACGCGTTAACCATTCGTCCACCCAACGCCCCGAATACACAATTACAAGCATTTATTGTGTCCAAAAAAGTGTAATGGACAAGTATGCTGCTTCGCCCATAGATTATTACTGCAGCTTCTACGAGTGTCAACAGGCAATTGTTGAGGTCTGATCCTCCAGAAGGAGGGACATTGGTGATAACAATGTAGGGGTATTAACTTGTGAAACCTGCATCATAATATTTTTATAAAGCTAATAATAAGCACTGTTACAGTCACACCATCTTAAAGTTCATTTTGTCATATATACATTGAATTGTCTAATTGTTTTTGTCATACATATATATGTGCACACTTTAATAATATTGTCTTTTTTTGTTATAATTATTCTGACGCTTTTTGGGATATTCACTAATATTTCTTGGATGCTCAGCTTCAGCCAACTTTCTCTTTGGCACAAACTGAAGCGATTCTTTCCAGTCATTGGTTTCTCTTAGTCTCAACAAAATTTTAAAAGTCTGATCTAAAGTTAGAGATTTATTACCAATACCCCACCTGAAAATGAAAAGTATGCAAGAGTTAAAACAATAGCCTGTCCTTCAACAATTTCCTGATGGAAGTTTTATCACAGTATCAGATGGACCAGGAACTGGACCCCAAGCCCTACCCATCTTCTCTGGAGGTCAGGTGTTCGATCCCTGTATTGGCATAGAAAGTTCATTAGGATTTTCTGCATGGTTCCCCCTTGTCATTGGTGTTGGAGAGAGAGAGAGAGAATTGGGGTTTAACGTCCACTCCACTCGACACAAACTAGGTCATTTTGGGACTAACACATGGTTCAATGTTATTTAACTAATTCGCTTGCACGTAGTGGTCTTTAATAGTGGGAAGAAACCGGAGAAAACCCACGAGGTTGGACAGGCGAACCTACTCCTTGTCACATATAACCTGGGAATCATTGGTGCAGGACAGAGGGCCTGGCAAGGGACAATGTATAGTTGTTAGGATGGGACAAAAAAAAACAAGGTCAGTGATCTTATTTTAATGATAGCTGCAATGGCTCAGTGGATAAGGTACTGGTTCACTAACCAAAAGGTCCAGGGTTCAATCCCAGTGTCAGTCCAGAAAATTCCCTGTAATTTTCCAGCATGGTTTCTCCTAGTCAGTTTTGCAGGACGGAGAGCCTGGCAAGGACAGTATCTAGTTGTTTGGATGGGACAAAGAGAACTCTAAACTGTGTGTATGTAAAAGAGTAGGCTGTAGTGCCGCTGTCCAGGCAAAATTTCCTTCATAGCAAACTATATGGTGTATGCCTGTCTTCATTAGCACATTACAATCCCAACAAGATGGCAGCCAAGACATTATGCACGGTTCCTGGTTCATATAGTACTATCATACTTTTTGTTTATTGCATTTAATATATTATCTAAAGATAATACGATTGCACAATTGGGCAACAGCTCTATAAAGACTTGTATAATTCTTTGTCTTCACAAGAATTTATCCGAGAGCTGTTACCCTTCTCAACATCAGTCAGTAAAAAACCCCATCTGACTGCCTATTTATACACAATTTCCGAAATCTGTCAAAGTTATCGATCAACCATAACAAATATATTCATCTTAAAATTATATGAAATCTGTTTAATTTATTTTAAATCTTTGATCATCAATACTTACGATAGATGTAGATCCAGAGGGAATTTAACGATGCTAATACCTTGTTCTTTTGCTTTACCTAATGTCACTTTCTGCTGCACACTTTTATCAACCAAAGCACCAACAATATAAACACTGTTGGGATTAAAATACTTTAATGTTCTTTGGGCATGGGGAGAAAGGTAAACCAAATCTTTTTTGGGAAAAAGATCTAAATAACTTTTATCCGTAACTGTGTAACAATTACTTAGTCCAGAACCATGACTTCCAGCATGAAAAGAATTCAGAAAAATACCCTTGGGATCTGCATCCGTAAAAACAAAATGAAAGGGTTCTTTTGTCCATTTGTTTTCACCATGGCATAAATTGAGCTGTTTTACAGTGTTTGTTATTTCTCTTGGTTTCATTTGCTTTTCGAATCCTAAATCAAACACTAGATGAGGTCCAAACTGCATAGATTTAGTTAATCTATCCGAAAAACATTTATTCATAGTTTTGTCCAAAACACGTAAAAAAATAGTATTTTTAGCAAATGAATGCTCCCTCTCATCTTGATGACTTATTTCTTCCATATTTTCTTTTTTCATCTCTTTTTCCTCTTTCTTTTTTTGCTTCGATTTTTCTATGCTTTTGTAGTATCTGTACAGCTTAGATCTAGCAATGATGGAATTTATTTTAAGTAATTCAACCCACATTGAATCAGTCACTTCTTCTGGAATCTGTTAGAACAAAGAAAGTTTATTGTTTAATATTTTGGATATACATGTATACCAGAATCTTTCCACCACACTCAATGCCTTTGCGGCTATCAAGGGTTATAGATTGGGTTTGTTATTGCCGCTGGAAAGAATTGTGGACAGATTCATATTAATCATAAATTGCTCCAATTTAATACACCTACAATTCAACTATACATTCTCAAATATTTCGAGTATTGATGTAAGTTACAGATTATTTTCTGTATTTGGTTGGCGTTCTGAAATAATATGCTCTCCTCAAAAAATGCTCTACTTAAAAACCTCTCCCAGTTTGAAAAAAAAAACCCACAAAGTTTCTATCAATGAATAAAAGTTGGATAGATCTTATAATACCATGACCAATACCCTGTATAATATGGTACATACTCGGCCGAATTGCACATGATTAAACATGGCAGCGACCATGATTTCAAACAATCGTGTGACTTCCCGACATCAGGTGAGTGGCTAATGAATTCCTAAAACCAGGAGAATACTTCGGCGAACCTGACACACTAAGAGAATATTTATCAAACACGTTTGATTCGGGAGATTCATTCATCTGAATGACAGTGGATATAGTAGGCGTGCCCACCGCTTAAGGTGCATGCCAAAAAACTCTCCTCAATCGAGTGCCTTAACAAACTATGCGCAAGTGAACTAACACCTGTCTAAAACTTTACCAAGAAATCCACAGAACAAAGACAAAATTTCAAACACAAACCCTTTACTATATAATGAACTGACATACTTTTCTGCATCAACTGGGCTAATGAAATGAAAGGGGGATTAACGTCATACTGTTCACTCCGACTGGGCTAATGAAAACAGACCAGGCTACTAAAAAGACAGTCACACAACAGCGTTTCCACCTACTTTTCATCAAATTCCAACTGTCAAGTGGTCTTTTATGCCAATGTGTACACAGGGCCTTGGTTTTCCATCCTATCCTTATGGCTACAGGTCTTTAGCAGTGGGAGGAAACCGGATGACCCGGAGAAAACCCACAAGGTTGGACAGGCAATCTTAATCCTCATCACATACAAGCAAAGAATCAAAACCACGCCACTCGACTCAATGACAAGACTGTATGATCTACAATTATAATTCTGTCAATGAAATGAAATAAAACGGGGTTTAACGTCCGACTGTTCTGCTCCGGACTGGGCTAATGAAGACGGGCATACGCCATACAGTGTGCTATGAGGGAAATTTTGCCAGGGCAGCGGAGCTACGGCATACTCTTATATCAAATTTCAACTGCCAAGGGATCTTTTACGTGCACGCCAATTTGTACACGGGACCTTGGTTTTTCGTCCCATCCGAACGACTAGACAGCTGTCCTTGTCAGGCCCTCCGTCCTGCATCACTGACAAGGGGAAATCACGCCGGAAAATCGGGATGAACTTTCTCGGCCAATGCAGGGATCGAACACCCGACCTCCAGGCTAGCGAGCCAGCGTCTTACCCACTTAGCCACGTGATCCCCTTCTGTCAATGAAATTTCAGAACTAAAAATATAGCCATTATTTTACCAACTTTATTTTGATTGCCAAATTTAGGAAAATATTTTGGAAGTCATTTGGCATAAATAGTTTTTCCTCCTAGAAGCTTACACGTAGGGTACTTACATTCTGGGGGTTTTCTTCTGACATCATTTGATACTCTAACTTCAGAATTTTTAATGTCTTTTCTTGCTCTGGGTTGAGGTTAGCCAAAATATCACTAGGATTTTCTTCTACTTTTTCATTCTCAACAACATCTCTTTTAGTTTTATCTGCTAAATCTTCTCCTCTCATATATTCTTGAAGTTTTTCAAAAGTATTAGAGTATTTACAATGAGCTGGTATGTTGTAACATCTGTGGCTGGCTAAATTATTCATGTAAGGATTTACAATGCATTGTGTATTTGGTTTGCTCATAATCAAACTGTTGAACTGCCACCATCCATTTCTTATGGATCGATTTGATATTGTTGCTAATACTTTAGTTGTCATTTTCTATCAAATTATCCTGAAAAAAATAAATGAAATAATTTATTCTTTCTTTCTAATATAAAATTCTATCTTTGCTTCTGGCTGAAATGAAACAAAATGGGGTTAAACGTCCTACTTTTCTACACCAACTGGGCTAATGAAGACAGGGCTTTAGAGATGAACTGAAATTGGGTTTAACTGTAACATCCCATCAGGGCTAATTATGATGACAAAATTTTGCCCAGACAGCCGGCCTATTTACATGTTACAGACCTGGATAGAAATGTTTATAAATTATTAACTTGACCATTCTTGAAAACTTTCAGCATGTAGAATCATCTTAGTGTTTGGATATTTGAGTCTAACTAAATAGTAAATAAGTGATTGCAATCTGTTTTACGGTATATTGAAATGTAAAAGGTTTGTAAAACAAAAAGTTATTGATTGAATCAGCTTTACCATCCCTTGACCCTTGAATAAATTTAGCTACGACCATGGCTACTGCGGGAAGTAAGTGCCAACAAATTATACAAAATGCTCTGATAATATAGACGCATTTATTAGGTCTACTTTTGAATTTTTTGCTCATGCTCACTTTGACATCTGACAAGCTTCAACTATGTGATCAAGGACATTAACTCTGGATTCTCATATCTCGCGATAATAATAAAATTTAATCATTTCATGTATAGTCTCTCGAAATTGTCGGTTGACACAAACAACGTGCAAATGTCATGTGAATGACACATACAGTACAACATAAATACTTTGTGGGGAAGATCTATATAAATTACAAATATTTATCATTCATTTACCGTACCCGTGGACACTAATTTTTAATAGTAATATCGGCTACTTGAACATTATAATGTTAGTAAGTTTACACTCACACTGAGTAGTGACAGTCAGATTCTGATTCTATTTCTAAACGCCTGAATGCCTTGGTTAATCGACGATAGCCTCCTATAATCCTCTGTTCAGTGACAATGCGAATGGAATTTTGTGTCGTCGGATCATTGGGTGTCTGTTACTTACAATGTCACTGATGAAAACCGAATATAAATTTCAATTCAATAAAATGAAATGTCTGAATGATCTTCGTTTCTCTCATTTATTTTTGCACGTGTGTTCATAAAAATAACGGATTGACTACTGGAATAGGAATAGCTACGCATTTGTTTCTTGTACAGACTGGTAAAGAAGCATGGGGATTTATTTCCGAAACATTTTATATAAGCTTACACCATGGAAACCTCGCGAAAGTAAACACAATGCACAGTAAATATAAAAAAATCGAACTGTATTATTTCACTGAATTAATTAAATTAGCTACATAAATAGTTATTTTTAATTAGCAGCATTATTGATGCTTTGCGCAATTAAAAAATGCCTGAGGACGAATAACTGTCCTCAAACAAGCGAATATTTATTAATAAAAAACATTTGCTGATTCCAGTTAGCTCAGATATTAGATTTGTGAAACTTTTTTATAATTCTAATTGTCTCTTGAATATCATATGTTTATGTTTAAGAAATAGTTCAAATTGAAGTGGTGCAAAGTTCTAAAATGAGGCCAGTATGGTTAATGATGCTGTATAGGACGACGGTGGTATCAAATTGTAATCAGTGTCGCCAATGGAGTTTAGAATTTTGGATTGTCAAAAAGATTCATAATTTAAAGAGGCATTAGGTAAGATCATAGAAAGAGCTAACAATTCTCGCTAAAATAGTTAAAACAAAAAAACAAACCAGATGATGAAAAGAGAATATGCTGAAAATTTCAGTCAAATTACTTCACTCTAAGCCAAGCTATCGGCGATACAGTTTTTGTCTAGCCTCGATTGTCATTACTACCGTTGTTACGATAATAAACAAAGTCTCGATTATCCATTTTTTTACGGTTATTTCATCAACCACAAAACATATTCAAAACTACTAAAAATCGGAGCCATGTCCGATGGCATCGAGAGTTGATTATGGTCTTGGTGAGTTAATTAATGTCTAATTAATAATTTATATAACATTTCAGTCCCAAAGAAAGACTTGTAATAGGCAGATTTAGTTCTCGCATCATGCACGTTTAAGTAATTTCTGAGATGAATGAAGGTCAAATTCTATTTAGACCGAACCCAACTCACAATTTTTTTTTTATCTGAATGGCGAATGACAGGAAATTTCTAAACAATAACTTCTCCCCTTAGGACAACTGAATAATTTCATGGAATGGGTTTAATGAATAAATATGGAATTATTAGTGGCGACTTCCAGGTCCCCCCTCCACCCCTCCCTCAATGAAATTTATATTGAGTAGCAATCGATATAGAAACTGAAATGACACACCGACTTTGTCTAAATAACTGTTTTTGTAATACTAATATTATTTGTTATTTTCCTGTAAAAAATAAAAGTCGGGCATGATTACATAGCCTAGGTTAATTCTACGGAACAAACTATGGAATATTTCCGAGCTTTTTATGAAATGGGTCGTTGAGTGGGGTGATTTGTGGGGCCACTGTCCCTTTTTGCCCAGGGACCGTGATCACTGTTAGTCCGCCCCTGAGTAATGAAAAAGAGAATGACAGAAGCTCACCTAGTGAATGTCAAGAAGAATGACAGAGTTTACCCGGCGAAAGACAGAATGACACGGGTTCACCATATGAATGACAAAATGACAAAAAATGGCAAAGAGAATGACAGGGTTCGCCAGGCGAATGACAGGTTCACCAGTGGAATGACAAGGAGAATGACAGATTCACCAGATGAATACCCCTAACACCCAAATAAAACCAGGCATAGTTCACAGAATGACAAAGAGAATGATGCAGGCTTACATGAATAATAAACATAATCGTAGCGGTTCACTAGATGAATGATGAAGTAGTTATGCCATTATGCATTAACCTGAGTCATTATGTTTTTCATTGAGAGAGAAAGAGAGAGAGAGAGAGAGGGGGGGGGGGTTAACGTCCACTCGACACAAACTAGTCATTTTAATTTAATTTCAATAATTCGCTTGCGAGTTGGGTAATGATCAGCCATCAGTCCATTTGTCATTCGTCTGGTGAACCTGTCATAAGCTTGTCATTCGTCTGGCGAACCTGTCATATCCTTTGTCATTCTTCCAGTGGGTTCCTGACACTATTTTTGTCATTCACCCAGTGAACGTCTTCATTCCCTTGTCATTGTGTTTGTCATTCATCTATCATTCCTTTTGCACTTCGCCTGGTAAACCTCTGTTATTCCCTTTGTCATTCATCGTGTGAACCTGCCATTGCCTTTCTAATTCGTCCAGTGGGCTCATGTCATTATCTTTTTCATTCATCCAGTAAACCCTTGTCATTCTCTTTGTCATTCACCCAGTGAGCCTTTGTCATTGATCTAGTGTTTCTCTGTCATTGATCCAGTGAGTCTCTGCCATTTATCTAGAGATCCTGGTCATCCTCTTTGTCAACTGTTTTTCGTCTATTGAGCCAGTCATTCCTATATATTCTCTCTTAATTCTACCTTGAAGTGACTACTCAGTATAATCCCCATGTATTCCAATACAAACATTATGCATTACACTAGTTCCATAACATAATTGAGTTGGTGTAAAAGGTGGCGTTATTGTTTAAAAATTTCTTGTCATTCGCCATTAGGGAGTACCAAAAAATATTCTTTATCGGGTTCTTAATTAGATTGTGGGTAAGGCGCTGGCTCACTAGCCCGGAGGTCGGGTGTTCGATCCCTGCATTGGCCGAGAAAGTTCATCCAGATTTTCCGGTGTGATTCCCCCTTGTCAGTGATGCAGGACGGAGGGCATGACAAGGACAGCTGTCTAGTCATTCGGATGAGACGAAAAACCGAGGTCCCGTGTACACATTGGCGTGCACGTAAAAGATCCCTTGACAGTTGGAATTCGATATAAGAGTAGGCCGTCGTGCCGCTGTCCGGGCAAAATTTCCCTCATAGCACACTGTATGGCGTATGCCCGTCTTCATTAGCCCAGTTCGGAGCAAAACAGCAGGACGTTAAACCCCATTTCATTTCATTTCATTTCTTAATTAGATTATTATGTTAAAATTGTTATATTGAATTCATAAAAACTATAAGTGTTTATTAAAGATGCCTTACCACGTACAGACTGTATAATATGATTATATATTTGAACTAAAACACATTTAACTAATTTATCCATCAAACCCCCCTCAAAACATTTTAATCGCAAGAGATTATACCCCAACCCTTAAATATCTATGTTAAGCAAGCAGCTTTTCACGTGACTTGATTGATGGAGGATCCATTGAACTAAAACACATTTAACTAATTTATCCATCAAACCCCCCTCAAAACATTTTAATCGCAAGAGATTATACCCCAACCCTTAAATATCTATGTTAAGCAAGCAGCTTTTCACGTGACTTGATTGATGGAGGATCCATTTTTGGCTTGTATTTGTCTTTAAACGCTGGTCCACTTACCATAAATTACCTACGCCTAAATACATTCTTGGATTGTCCTCTGTTGTAGTTTAAATATCTCATTGTTTTCACAACCGCTAGCCACTAGACTAAGCGCCCCCCTGTGCTGCTAAACAGACAAAATACCGACAGTATTTCAGTTTGTGATACCTTTACATTTTTGCCTTTAAGCGCCGCATGGGTGTTTTTCAGGGAATCCAGTATTGGAAATAACTACCCGAATGTATCTTTAATATCGTAATTTTTGATCTCAATAAGCAACAATGCAATTAATTTAAAACTAATGTTATCACCCGTTTACTAAAAATTCTTGTATTTATAAACGAAAACTTAAGTAATAAAGTAATGAAGATGTAAATCAATCATATGGAGTTGACGGTTTTTGTCATGTCACAAACTTAAGCGTTTTCGAACCAAATTTATTCACACGAAGTTGTGAAATTACCACTATGCAATCTAATTAAAATCAGAAATTATTTCATTCCATTAAAATTTGCAACAACCGGGTGTGAACTGGCAATGGGTGATCTGGACCCTTATGTAACATTCAATTTCATCAGATACATCACCCCAACCGACGCCCAACAAACAAAAATCAAAATTTAAACGTTTCATGGAAGCAGAATAATAAATGAATATTTTATACTGTTACGTAAAGGGGGCGGCTTGGGATCCTATAGCCCCTGTCCGCCACCTGGATCCGCTACTCGATGAGATCAAGTGAAACAAAATAATGTTAGTATACTTTTAAATAGACTGGGTCGCTCGTCACGCTCTTGGTAATTTCCATTATTTTCAAAAGTTCAGACATCTATGATGCTGATTTTTACTTTTTAAAAACGGCAAATCCTTCAGTGCTATAAATAATTAGACATGGAATTATGGAGAATATATTCTTGCTATGGCTAATTAAGTTGGTTGAAACCAAGATGTTACCTTTAAATATAATGGTTCAAATGAGATCAGCGTTTCTCAGCGTTGGACATCTTCAACACAGTATCTAAATTACGGGAATTGTTTGCTAATAAACATGCATATTTGAGGCAGGTTGAATTCCCTAAGAACATATACAAAAATTACTACCCAGTACATATCAAGATCCAAACTTCATATTTAGTTGTTTTCCGGATTTTGTGGTTCCGTGCACTGGGTATTGGAATTAAGAGTTATTGGATGTTATTTGTGTGTTGTGGTGAACGGCATCATTGTCTGAAGAACCGTTATGTTTCCTTAATTATTCACTGGAAAAATTATTCTTGCCATCACTACCAATTCCAGGTTGGATCTTAATGAAAGGAATGTCCTTATTTAAATGTAGTAGTTTTATTTTCTACAAGACTGAGCAAACTATAACTAACATAGATAACCCTATTCTATAACATTTGAAAGTTGTACACTGTCAAAACATTTACATGTTGTAATAATCTTAATAATCATAATTAGTATAATCATATACATCAACAAATAATATTACAGGTATAAATAAGATAATACTTCAAATAGAAAAGCTCAATGGTGAAGACGGGACTGAAAATTCCTAACCCTTAATAAAATTCCTGCCTAATCTCAATTTTTAGCTCGACAAAAGTACCTAAATGAGCAGAAATATTGTCCCGGAGCTTCTGGTTTAGAAAATTATCGTGCAATCACCAAAACCTCGCGCACAAGTTTACACTGTCTCCATGCCAGACCCCCGTTGCTGGACACGCCCTTGTCATGGTATTCTTGGGAATTCCGTTAAACATTACTCGCAGAATCGTCTGCAACTTAGTTAAAATTTCAAACGGAGCAATTTGTTGAGAGTTATGTGCGTGGATATTAATAGGTCTGGGTAATAAGTTATCACCGAGCCACAGACAATATTTTAATTATGTGATCTGAATTGCAATACGCCATTATTGAAAAGGCATTGCACACATGAAAACTCCGACGTAGTTCGATTGACCATTGGTGAATAATTAGTGTGGAAACTGATATATAAATAATGGTAAATAACAATATACAAATACATAAATATCAACAAACGTTGAGTATAAAAATGAAAACATTGTCAAATCTGGGATAGCGTATATTTCCAGCTTGATTCTAATTTACATACATTTAATAGATTACGATTGTTCACAATATACATTTAAAAGAAATACAGCCGTTATAAATTCAAATATTTTTGTCGTAAAAATTACCAAAAAAGCAAATATAATGCACAAATCTGTTTACCATACACATTTGAAAAGAAATACAGCCGTTACATATTCAAATATTTTTGTCGTAAAAATTAAAAAAAAAAAGCAAATATAATGCACAAATCTGTACAGAAGTAGCAGAACGTTAACCATTTCTTCAGTGGTAGCATACAATCTGCAACGACAGTTTCTTGATTTAGCTTTCTTTTCATCAATACGTTTTACTGTTTCTCCAGCCTTTTTGGCTAAAATTCCACTCAATTTGAATACAATGGAAATAATACACCCACGTGTGTAATTAAAGTCTAAACTAAACATCAAATACGACCGATTTGTCACTTCCTGGTCTATACTCTCGCTACGCCATCTGGAGTACTAAATGGAGGAATTACGGAATAAGGTGGAGGTGGGCCAGGAGTATTTCTTGTAGCGGGCAAATCTGGCCTAAACAAAACTTTTACTCGCTGCAAAATACAAAACAAATACAACGTTGAAGGAAAGTATCATGAAAATTATGTCATCAAATTCACAATAAGTACACGTACTTCGTGACGCACAATATACACAGACATTGCGAGCATTAAAGGACAATATTGGTGTCAGTCATTATCACATTATGTGATAGAACTAATTAAACACGTTCCAAATATAATTTTAACATAGAGATCATTGCTACGATAGCTGAGTAATACAGGTTTCCTGAATCGGAAGTGGCGAACGCCAAAAGAAAACACGAGTCATCCCGCTATATAACTAACTGAAGTGACGAGTGATAACAGAGCGAATTTCTGCTCACTAATAATTCCTTCCAAGACCAAAAGTTGTTGTGTGAGACTATGAGAGGATATCTGACAATTCATAAAAAGAATTGACTGCCACTAGATAAGAGAACACGAAAGAAAAATAGAAATAGTCCGTACGTTCCCTTGTTTATATTCATTCTATACCTTATAAAAACAAACGTATATATCAGACTACGTGAATTGATCCCGCCACACAGTGTCAGTTCCTGTTTGCAAACCTGGGCATTCAAGCAAGCACTCAAAGCTTGAGGAGGGCCATCGTGGCTCAGTGAGTAAAACATCGACTCGCTACTCCGAAGGTCCTGTGTAGATCCTGGTATTAACCGAGAAAGTTCATCCTGATTTCCGGCGTGGTTCCTTTTTGGAAGTTGGTGCAGAAGAGTGGGACGTCAAACCCCATTTCTCTTGAACTTACCCTACCATATTTGTCAATGTCTAGCGGATAGCCTAAAACAGTAACTCTATATTTTGTCCATTCATTTTATTATTTGGTAATTGGTAGCCTACCGATGTTATATCGAAATTTGTACACTCTAAACTTGCTGACCACAGTCGAAGGGTAAATAATAAATCCCCCATCGATTATATCTAGAAAACAAATGTTAATGTGATTTTTACTTACTCGACTAAAAGAGCCCCCAGTTGTAAAAAACGTGATAATCATAAAGATAGGTATGATGCCAATGGATGAAAATGCTAGAACACCACCAAAACAATGTGCCCATGTAGGAAATTCATAGGAATCGTAGGTAAACGGTTTAAATGTAACAATTCGGGCTACAGCGACGCCCTGAAACAAACAGGTGAATAATATTTACGTAATATATAAACAGTGATATAATTACACACTTTTAACCCATACGACGGCTTGACAAGCTCCATATACATCCCCGGCAGTACCCCCACCCCCACAAAACTCAGTATTAAAAATTCCACCAATAATAGTGGCTTTAATAGTACAATCATAAAAACTGAGATAACGTTGCGATCTTCTCTTCTAACAAACAAACAGACCACGTTTTAGAATATTCCATCGACATTTCTGTAAAACTAATGCTGGTAAGATAATCCCACGGGCGTGGTAGAAAATTCTCAATTTCGACACGGCAATTCCACATGCTTTAACGAACAATCTCACAAAGTTTTAAAAATACGGGAGTAGGCGGAAATCCATTGTCCCCGCACAATTCTTCTGTCTGGTAGTAAACATCAGATCATAGTAAATGTATTAGTCTCAAAATGGCCGAATTATTGTATTGGCCAAACATTAAACCCCATTCTTGTCCATTCTCATGATAGAATGAATTTGAAAACATAATTCGTTAATGACTCTGATCTGTAGAGTTTTCAGAAAACAAGGCAAATGATCCTAGGATATGGAATGTAATTTAGAATAAGAGTTTCTTTATAATAGTTTATTTCAGTTGCATTGTCCTGGTAATGAGCCGATTAGATGGGACAAAAAATACCCCAAAGTCTCTTGTTATCTCTATCAGCACGTTATAATATATATCCCCAGACAGCTTTAAACAAGAATAGACCATAGCCCGATGTCCTTGTTTGCTCTGTTAGTGCAGAAACCCTACATTTTATCTGATTTTTTATTTATTTCTAATATATGTTACATAAATTAAAGAATTTGAACCAATTTCAAATCAATACAAATTTAAATCTTACAAAACAAATGGCCGGTGTTGTAACCACCCAACAAATCTTCCAAAAATAAGATGGATAAAAGCCAAACATATCTTTCAGATTCTCATAGAAACGATTTACACCTGCAAAAAAACATATTGCATTTTGAAATAAAAATAACTGAATTTCTTCTGCTGGTCTCTGTAATATATATATTAATTAAAATCTGTTCTAAAATCTCTATAATATATATATTAACTAAAATCTGTTCTGTCTATCGTCTGCCACTCGTCTCCTGATTTGTTCAATATGAATAATCAAATTTGTCTCTATTGTACACAATGCCATAAGTTAAGCACCCGCTGTAATTTTCATAATGACGTTGAAACCCTGATACTATAACCTCGGTAAACAAATGTGGTTTACAAGAATACATCTTGGACAACATAAAGATAAAGAGTTTATACAGTTTGGATTCTGGAAAGAAATCCAAGATGCCGTATTTGAGCCAACATGGGAGTCACAATAAGTATGGAGTTTAAGATAGCTCATACACCCGCCACGTCCATTACACAGTTTCGGTTTACTATTCTTGTAATGCTGACAACATTCTCCCGACCCATTCCTTAAAAAATCCTATGCTAACTGTTCACACCACCACCACTCGCCCGCCCCTAGACTATACTAACATGAAAGGTAAGCCATCTACCGTTAAATTTATAAAATCTAGTTACCGTAACCCCAGGAAACGGCTATACACTCGAAAAATATCAGAAGTAACAAACAGATACCACTGGCAGCATAGTTATCAAATATTTGAAACATGTACATTCCACCCTAAAATATAAATAACATTACAATAAGGATTTCAGTTGATAATAACAAAATTTACATTATCTGCAACATTTATATACCTATATATTTATAACAGGTCACATGTATGGCAATGGGTCTATTTCAGTAGGTCATTCAGTATTTATCATGTAATCATTCAATGCTGATACTGTAAAAAAATCATACAAATGGACTTGAATTAATATAATCATCTACTACCCAGCATGGAAGAATTATTTGCGTTTTGTGAATTGTTCAATACTTACGTGTGTCACCATTGACAAACCAATCAAGTAGGAAAGAAAACAGACAGAAGCTATAAATATTTCTCTATAGGGTCTCAGAATACGTGGAAATTCGTCTATTATAGCTGTGAAAAATCCTTCCATAGTTACAAACTACAATATAGAAAACTGGTGGTTTATTGAATTTTAAGCTTCCGATACATGTTTTTGAAATAGAATGACCCTAGCTGATATGTAATGATTGTTGTTATTGTTCATCCAAGAATAAAAAGTTTCTCGAAGAATGGCAGAATTATTATTACTGTCTAAAACACATAACCATGGCGGTATGAAATCAATGGAAACCGGGGCAAACGGTAAATCTATAAATGGCCGCCGTTACTATTGATATATATCTTTTTTTTTGAATGGGTTTTCAGCCAATGCATTCATAAAGTTTGCATTATACAGGTGGCCATGTCACTTTATATCAATAATCATTGGTTGGTATCTTATACTAACCTGACTGTCCAAGCCCAGCATTAACATCATCAAGAAGAAGCAAATTGCCCATAATGGTGAAATGGGCAGCTGAATTACGGCTGATGGGTAAGCAAGGAAAGCCAACCCTGGTCCTATAACACAATATAAAATACATATAGACATTTGATTAAATGACCTCGTCACTGACCCCCAGGAAAGTGGGTTCTGGTTATTAGTTAAGATTATTTTTGCTAGAATTTTACTAATGTATATAAGCAATAAAACAATGCTATAATTTTTGTGGTTTCAAAGCGCTGTATATTTTTTCTGAAATATATCTGCATATAATTCAGAAATGCTAGATCATCCATGACATTTGATTAAAATCAATATTTTGCACGTTTGATAACTTCCCTTTAACAAATAAAAGAATGTAGTCAGTTGACCTACCACTAGCAGCAACCGAACTAACAGGTTTACCCTGTTCCTGGGCCATGAATCCAACCACAGAGAAAATAACAAAACCAGCAAAAATACTTGTACAACTGTTTAATATAGAAATAAAAACAGCGTCCCTGAAATACAAACAAATATATAGTCTTCTAAACACGACCACGATGATGGAACTCTTGTGATCATTCAAATCAGAATGCATCCTGTAACAGATACAATTAAAGTGATATACGAGATTGTTCTTGTTTTCGACCAGACCGTCTGTAAAGAAAAAGAGTAAGAACAGAGGTCCCAAAACGGGGTCTTGTGGTAAACCATTTTGCAAATTGACGGAATATGGCCTTTTAGATGTCATTTCTCATCCCCATTGCTTACAACTTCCCGTATACTTTTACATAAATCAACATATAATATCAATAGATTTTTATTCACCCTTAATTGCAGGACAACATCTAGACGGTGTATAAAGACTCACTTGTATATATTATTATGGTATTTATTATAGCTTCCTAGTGCAATTAGAGAACCCAAACCTAAGCCATAGGAAAATAGCACTTGTGACGCTGCATCCAACCAACACTAAAAAGAGAACATATTATTTTATATTCTACCGTGCTCCCCCGTCCTTAGTCCTAATCATTCAAACCATCTCCGCTTCGAATACAACGAATTTTGGCTGGACATAATAGCGTTAAAGGTCAAAGATCATACTGTGATTGTCTTATGTTGAAATTGGTATGGTGGGGCATCTTTTTGTTTAATAGAATTTATATCTCCGTAGATCGCGACGTGGTCAAGAATAAAGTACTGCTCGCAATTTCCTATCGCTTTTACAAGTTTCGTAAAATAAAACTTGCAAAAAATGTAAGACAGATGTGATGGCCAATGTTTCCAAATTTCAGTTATCTTCCTAATTTCACCCAGTACTAACAATTATTGTGTTAGTATTGGGTATACAGGTGGATCTAGGCTTTTCATCCTGTCCTGCACCACTGGAAATTTTAAAACAGACTGGACCTTTCTCGGTCAACACCTGGATCGAATCATAGGTCGTTTTAACTGGTGGATTGAGGCATTTGATAAAAGTTGCAGCCAGATAGCATAAACACAAGTGTTGCTATTTTGTCCATCGTATTCGTTGTTGTCAAAAAAGAATAAACGAGTCTACTTTGTCGTAGCTGTTCTCGTTAAAAAGGTAATATGTAGACATCATACATCTTTATATCAGTCGGCTACGACAAAGAAGAGAGAGAGAGAAAAATGGGGTTTAACGTCCATTCGACACAAACTAGGCCATTTCGGGACTAACATATGGTTTTTAATTTTATTTCAATAATTCGCTTGCGCGAAGGGGTCTTTAGCAGTGGGAGGAAACCGGAGGACCCGGAGAAAACCCACGAGGTTTGACTACAGCAAAGGATATGCACAGTAATAATAAAAGACGTTGACGTTGGTCTTTACGTTAGTAAGTGAAGCGTGTCTAACAATGCAGATCGATGTTGAAGTTACGAAACAAACTTGGATAAACAACAAATATCAGATGTAATGAGGAGTACTGAATATACTGCAGTACTTAATAGTGAATACAGAAGAGCAATGGGTTTATCTTACCTTCGAATCTAAAAGTCTGGACATATCTGGTACAATGTAGAATTTGATTCCCTCCAGTGCACCTGGTAATGTGACACCTCGTATTAACAAACAGAATAGTAAAAAGTAAGGAAATAGAGCTGTTACGTACACAACCTATAAATACACAAAGCTTGACAGGTAAGGTAACATACACCCATCAGCAGCTTTGTTGTCCATGCTATAAGAATCTTAGTCTCATGATTATTTCCCGTCAGTTTAATGAGATTATACGGTCATGTACTGTAAATAACGATAGCAATGAAAATTGGGCAATGCGCTTCAATCATCAAGCTTAAGGAGAAATAATTATGGAAGTACGTTTGTGAAAACCACTAAAATGTTTTAACAATCATCTAGCAGTTCTACCTATTCCTGAAAAAATGCTGAAAATCGAACAAGAACTGAATCGTAATAGTCTTTTGAGATCATAAAAGCGACCATCTTTATCCCAATACTAACTAATCTTAAAGTTTTGATGAATATCAGTGAGGAATGAAACTGTATAGAGAGAGAACGAACACGTAATGTACCTTTATCAATCTTATACGTCAAGGGTTATAAATTGAGAATTACTTTTGCAAATCAATACGGACAATTCCTGAAAATACGTGGAGATCGGAACGCCCTCAAGCCAGTACGGTACAGTAATGTACGTTTTCAACAGTCAATGGACACAACTCAAGAACTACTTTTAGCGTAAGCCTCATTACTAATTATTCCAGAATATTTTATCAAAATGGGTGTAGAACTTAATTCTGTAGAGGGGGTGGAAGTGGGTTTCGTCAGACGAACCGACGGACAAGAGGCGACGACAATCTACGATCACATCAACATGTAGTCATATCAAAATTGTTACATATCCTTCCAGTTTCAGGTAAACTTCGGTCTAAAATACGCTTGGGTTGTAACACTTTCGATTGACCCTTGGTCTTCAATATCTTCCGGAGGTTTGCTTTAATGTTTAAAGATACATTATGGGAGATTCGATAAGGAGTTGGCAGTTCTCACTATAATAATTAAAAACTAGAAAATGTAAAGGCAATTTGCTGAAAATTTCATTCAAATTGATTCACTATGAACCGAGAACTAAGCGATTGAAATTTCAACCTAGCCTCGATCATCATTACTAAATCGTTAAATCGTGAAGGAAAGTTATGCAGTAAATCGGCTCATAATCCACTAAACATCGCAGGCTAGCGATGCCATCTAGAGTTGATTATGGTCTGGATAGGTTAATTAATGTCTATAAAAGTAATAATTTAGATAACATTTCAGGCCTAAAGAAAGACCTGCAATAGACAGATTTAGTTCTTGCATAATGTATGTTTAAGGTTTTTACACCGATTTGTTGAAGGCACAGAAACATCAATAAGATTTCTGCCGGTAATACTCAGGAGCTTATTTTATTAGTATTAGCGGAGTGAAACCTTTATTTGAAATATTACACCATTTATACCTTGCCCGTCCACTGTACTCCTTTCCAAATACAGAAATAACACAGGATCCACACAGTTAACAAGGTCAGTGCCAACTGCCATCGGACATCACCAGGTTCGTCAATGCCAGAACTTATTTGCAACACGTTACGTCTGAAATATCCAAGCAATAACACGCCATCTTGTCAAACATGATTGATTAATGTCAGCTGTCAGTGATGCAGGACGGAGGGCCTGACAAGGACAGCTGTCTAGTCCTTCGGATGAGACGAAAAACCGAGGTCCCGTGTATACATTAGAATGCACGTAAAAGATCCCTTGGCAGTTGGATTTCGATATAAGAGTAGGCGATAGTGCCGCTGCCCGGGCAAAATTTCCCTCATAGCACACTGTATGGCGTAAACCCGTCTTCATTAGCCCAGCATAGGAGCAGAACAGTAGGACGTTAAACCCCATTTCATTTCATTTCATTTAATGTCAGCTAACATCAAGGTCATTTCAACTATTTAATCTACAAATTTTGTTTTAATTGTCTTAATTACTATCAACTTAACACTGTAGCCCGTATTGTTTTAAGTAAGTTAAGAATTGTTTTATTGGCCGGCTGCCACACTAAACAAATTGGAGATACATAATCCACCAAAAATGGGCTTTGGTTATTTACTGAAATTTTGTTTCCAGAAAACTAGTGATAATGGTCGTTCTAAAATGAAAATTCTCATTAATTTAGTTTCGTAATTTATTAAAATTGAGACTGTCTCACATCCGAGTAGATGTATATTTATTACAGAATACATACCATGAAAATTTTTTAAAATCTTATTATTGTTTTCTTCTGTACACTTTTTAAAATGGAAATTTTATACTTACTCCCAGAACTCTTTGACAGGAGAAATAAACTGTTCGCTTTCATACAACTGGACACATTTGAAACCCCGATTCGTAAATTCGGTAATACTTGTGAGGTTTTCCGCTGATGTAATGTTAGTCTCAAATGAGTATGAATCATTTGAGCATGTGTAAGGAAACTTGAATCGTTCATATTCAGACAAACACTGTGGCGAGTTCCATGGATTTTCACACGTGGACCAAGGTAAAGTAGCAGTAAATGAACTAAATAGATAGAACAAAGTCCATGCTAGAACAACTATGTAGTAAGTATTCAACCAAAAGGCAGCCATTGTAGCAGCAAATCCGACGCCTGGAAAAAAGGAAAGAAGCGGATTGCAGTTGAAGTTCGTTAATCCACAGATTCTCCCGCCCACCCCGGCCCCATGAACGAAATTTTCAGTGATTAAGAGTGCCTGGCTCATCAACCACGTGTTTCCGGGTTCGGTCCTCGAGTTTTTCCACCAGTTTCCCCATGTCAGTGGTGTAGGCAAGGGGAGCTGGGATGGAACAGTGGCTAGTCGTGTGGATGGACGAAAAACAAGGTCCTGTGTACATTTTGGCATACAGTTAAAAGACCCCTTAACAGTTGGAATTCGGCGAAGAGTAGGTGGAAACGTGGATGTCCGGGCAACATCGCCTTCATAGAACACTACATTCCTTAGTCCATTCACGCAGAAACACATGACTTTAAACCGGATTTTATTTTATCAAACGGAGCCATGCAAACAAGATTTACCTACATCTCCGTTTCCCATCCTGCACTAAGAATCCACGACGATAGTCCTGCTCTTTACTTTTGAGATGTAGTAGAGCCAACACATCCGTAATTAGGGTAATGTACATTGCTACTGTTAATTATGTTTTTTTAGCAGATCAAAATGGCTACTGGTTTGGGTATATGCATTTGATTTTGTTGTGATGGTGCTGCTGGCGTCGCGATGGTTTACTGCTAAAATTACTTATTATGACTATTCATAATAACAACACACCAGGTATAGGACTAGTTTCACAGTATCTGAATACTGATTAATATTTATTATAATTTGTATAGTACCATCCTATAAATACGTAAATACGTAATGACAAATTATTGTGCTGTTATGTTGACTTTACCACTGGAAGGCCTCAAGTAGACGGCTGTCCCAACAATAAAGTAGTACCAGGTGTTCCAGAAAGAGTAAGCATACCCTGTCTTGCATACACACTAGTTAAACAGACTAGACCAGTCTCGCTATGTATACTTTTGAAGATTTATTTTCAATGCATATTCATTCTCATAAAACTATTGTATTTTATGCTGAAATCTTTTATGAGATAAGCTATAACGATTTTCACAAATTACAGCACTTTCTTTGTTGATTTACCTTTAAATATCGGACAAATTTTCCACACACTAAGACCACCGACACTTGACCACTGACCGAGGGCTAGTTCCATGAAATACATAGGAATACCAACAAACACCACTGTCAGAAAATACGGGATTAAGAAAGCACCTGAAAAATAAAGACAAATGCGGTAAAATGCAGTTTGATGCGCAGGAGGAATAGTTACATCGCGCGGGATTAGGTGGGGTCTTGTGCAGAAAAAAAGTTTCCAGTAATGCTATTTTTTATTAGTGTGGTTCTTACTACCACTCAAGTTCCCTTTCGGTTGCCATTTTGAGGGGATTGGATGGCCGAATTGTTAACGCGTGTGCGCTGCATTATAAGGTCTGTCATTGAGTCAACTGGCGTGGTTTCGATTCCCCGGTTGTATGTAGGGTCGCCTGTCCAACCTTTGGGTTTATCTCCAGGTTCCTCGGTTTCCTCCCACTGTTAAAGACACCTACGCGCAAACGAGTTATTGAAATAGAATTGAACCATATGCTTATGCCGAATTGACCTAGTTTTTGTCGAGTGAACGTTAACTCTCCCTCTCTCTCTCTTTCTCTCTCTCTCTGCCATTTTGAGAGGTTCCTATCGTTTTATATTTATGATCTCTAAAATCGTTAAAAACCGACACACATGTTTTGAATACAAAGATGCATACCAAATATATTGGAAATAACTATCTTATAAATATTTTCATGGGAATGTATAATCTTTTAGTGGCATTTAGCGATTGGAAAGCATAACAAAACTAACACAGTTACATGGGCAAACAATCACTAGTTTATTTTACACAAGCACAACGTTTCGATAAGTATCCTCTTATCGTTATCAAGCACAATGACATTTAGTAAACTTGAGGGTCTATATATATATTGTAGAATGTGAAGCCATACTTAATAATAATGATTAGAAGAATTCAAATTATTTAACAAGCATATTTAACAACAAAGAACTAAAAAGCACCGCGTGATTACAAAGATAGATGAACATGAAACGTTAATTATGTTTATACAACGAAACCACACTGAATAGACGACAGGTGATTAGGGGGAATCCATACATTAGAATAGTATATTAATAAATAAGAACTTATAAATGCAAGGCTATTGACTCAAAATGTAAAGGATGAAACCACAACAAGAATGTGATATAGCAAGATTTATTAATTTTTGATAACATGATCATATGCCCTAGGAATAAATAGTCCCAAATCTTTATTCAATTCTGGAGAAAATCTTCTAATGTTTATTGCTTCTTTTATGTTGGCTGGGGCCGTTGATTTGTGTTCTGAAATTATTTTATCTACTGGCTTTTGGTTTCCCCAATATAGGTCTTTTCACATGAACAGTTAATTTTGTAAACTGTCCCTTTTGGTTGCACGGGAATGGTTGGTTGCAGTTTTCCATTGTCTTTTAAAATCTGTTTGAGGGATATGGGGATAGAGAAAGAAGTGTTAATGTTGAATTTCTTTAGTAATCGGCTAATCTGGTAGGTGAGACTTCCATAGAATGGTAGGGAGATTCTGATAGGTAAATTGTCTTGCCTCTGTTGGTTGCCTCTGCTGTTATTTAGCGTGGCCTCTCGTCTGTCTGTTGACTATAGTTGGGGGGTAATTATTTAGGTTGCAGAAAACGTGCCGTAAGTGGTCTAATTCGTCATCAAGGTTTTTTGGTTTTCATATGTTAATGTCTCTGCGTACTAAGGTGGATATGGGGGCTCTTTAATATATAGTGGGGATGGCTCGAGTTATAATTAATGTACTGGTCTGTGCGGGTGGGTTTACGGTAAACCTTCGTTTTTCATTTTGCTGTTTTGTTTGTGGACGTGGACATCTAAAAATAGTAAGGTTTCTTCTTCCTCTGTCTCTATGGTGAATTTGATCCTGGGGTAGGTGATCCAATAGGGCCATAGGTTCATCATTTTCTTCCAAGACAACAAAGGTATAATCCACCTGGCGAAGCCAAACTAGGGGGGGGGGGGGGGTCGGGTTCTTCCTAATTTTCTTGTACGTTATAGTCATTGGTGTTCATTGTAACTGTAGATTTCCCTTTATCGGCAGGAATTATGGTTATGGATTTATCATCTTTCAGGTCCTGGATTGCTTCCTTATCTCCTTTGCTGATGTTCTTTGGATTCTTTTTGGTTTGGGATTTGGATATCAAGTTGGCTATTTGGTGACGTAGAAAATCAACTTTCCCACCCGGTGCCAGTTGTCGAAGGCCCTTTATACATTGGCGATGAGGTCATCATGGCCCTTAGATAGCTGATTGATCTGGTCTTCACTTAGTTCTTTGTTACTTAGATTCACTACTGTCTTGGTGAGGAATTCTGTGTACTTCCACAGTACACAGTAGTTGTGGTTGTACTTCCACTGGTACTTGTGGTCTTTTTCTGCTTAAGCTGTTCAAGTTTCTTGAGGTGGCATTGTTTAATTCTTTCTGAATTGGCTATAGGTTTGTAGTTGTGGGAATGTGACGGATATAGTTAAAATTTTCATTGGTGAATTTGTCTTTGAGAGCTGATGTAATCCATAGATTTGACATAACTGACGGTGTTTGGTGTTCCGGTGGTGTTGGATACGTTCCCGGACAAGGGACTTGCTTGCTCGATGTAGAATCTCCCTACCAGTCTATGGAAGTCTCACCTACCAGATTAGCCGATTACTAAAGAAATTCAACATTGACACTTCTTTCTCTATCCCCACATCCCTCAAACAGATTTTAAAAGCCAATGGAAAACTGCAATCAACCATTCTCGTGCACCCAAAGGGGCCAGTTTACAAAATTAACTGTTCATGTGAAAAGACCTATATCGGGGAAACCAAAAGACCAGTAGATAAAAGAATTTCAGAAAACAAACCAACATAGCGGTCATAGCTGAACACTTGAATGACCATCCAAGACACACAATAGACTGGGACGTGTTAGAAATTCTGGCTACTAATCAACATAATAGGAAAATTAGGAAATTAAAAGAAGCAATAAACATTAGATGATTTTCTCCATAATTGAATAAAGATTTGGGACTATTTATTTCTAGGGCATATGATCATGTTATCAAAAATTATTAAATCTTGCTATATCAGTGTTGTTGTGGTTTCATCCTTTACATTTTGAGTCAATAGCCTTGCATTTATAAGTTCTTATTTGTTAATATACTATTCTAATGTATGGATTCCCCCTAATCATCTGTCTTCTATTCAGTGTGGTTTCATTGTATAAACATAATTAACGTTTCATGTTCATCTATCTTTGTAATCACGCGGTGCTTTTTAGTTCTTTGTTGTTAAATATGTTTGTTAAATAATTTGAATTCTTCTAATCATTATTATTAAGTATGGTTTCACATTCTACAATATATATATAGCCCCTCAAGTTTACTAAATGTCATTGTGCTTGATAACGATAAGAGGATACTTATCGAAACGTCGTGTTAGTGTATAATAAACCAGTGATTGTTGTCCCATATAACTGTGTTAGTTTTGTTATGGGAATGTATCTTTATATGAAAGGTAAAACATATACGTATATATTATCAAGTAATTTAGAATGTTTTGTAGTTTGGATTGGCACTACCCTTCCTGAATTATATGACCCAAGGCACGTGTCTCGTGTCCACTGTGCCTATTCATTAATCGAACACGTCTACATGATTTTTACCGGATACATATCCTGGTCCTGTCATTCCCTTTTCGTATTATTGTTCTCTTTCTTATTTTACATGGCCTGAATGATGTTAATATATTTGTTTCCAAAACTCTTTTTTGCCATTGCATATTTGTTTTGTAATAATATAAAATATTGAAATATTATTAATATTGTTTTCATCGTCTCTTTAAAATATTTCCAGAAGCATTGATATTCTAAAGCGCGAAAAGGTTCCCGAGCGATACATCAAGAATCTTGCAGTATATTGCTTTTGTTAGTGAATATTGCTTCAGTGAATTTCTAGACATATTAAACATTAATGAAAATATTGTTTTGAATCTGTACACTCTAAAAATGAATATCTCATTTTACATCATAAAAGGTATTTAGCGTATATTATAACTAATTACAACCTCTTTAACTCATCTTTCATATCTAATTAAAATCACATAGTAGATAATATAACATTTATAATCACACTGTACATGATATAACATTTGCTTCATCTTATATATCTATAATTACAACCACACTGTAATAAGGTAACATTTAATTGCTTCAGCTTATATATCTATAATAACAATCACACTGTACATAATAGAACCATTAATTGCTTCAGCTTATATATATCTATAATATCAATCACACTGTACATAATAAAAATAACATTTAATTTATTGTACCTACATAATATAACATTTAATTTATTTTACGTGCATAAAATATCATTTACTTCATTGTGCGTATACACAAAATAACGTTCACTTTATTGTACCTATATAATATAACATTTAGTTTATTGTGCGTACGGGGGGGGTGGATGGCTGAATGGTTAGCACGCACGCGCTGTATCATAAAGTCTGTCATTGAGTCAACTGGCGTGGTTTCGAATCCCCGGTTGTACGTGACAAGGAGTAGGGTCGCCTGTCCAACCTCGTTGGTTTTCTCCGGGTCCTCCGGTTTCCTCCCACTGCTAAAGACCCCTACGCGCAAGCGAATTATTGAAATAAAATTAAACCATATTTTAGTCCCGAAATGACCTAGTTTGTGTCGAGTGGACGTTAAACCCCATTTCTCTCTCTCTTATTGTGCGTACATAATATAATATTCACTTTATTGTACTACATAATTTTTATAACATTTACTTTATTGTGCGTAAATAATATAATATTTACTTTATTTTACATAATATAATATTTACTTCATTGTACTTAATATAGAATTAACTTTAGTAAATGCGTACATCATATATACATAAGATAACATTTACTTTATATGCTTACTTAATATAATATTTACTTTATTGTATATGAATACTCAATGCTCCATATTGCACGACCGATGGGAACGGTACACGGGGGCTTTATTTTTCGCCCTATCAGAATAATATTCAGCAAGAAATAATTGGGAATAAAATTCAACAATAGATTTAATTCACTCGATAAAAAACTATTTAAGAAAATGAAATGGGGTTTA